AGTTGTGTTCGGAAACCTATAGGCAATTTTTTACGCCTACATTTATATGCCCACAATTTCAATCATTTTTTGCAAAAAATTATTTCTTGCTTTTCTACATAGAAATATTTATGTGAGCTCTTAAATTCACTATTTCTCGCGGATTATTAACCACAAATTTGGTAGTTTTCGACCAAATCACAATTTCACATGGACTTTAATCCATAATTTCTGTTATTCTTGCTCAAATTATATCTTGCTTTCCTACATAGGAATATTTATGTGTGCTAAAAACTTCACTGTTTTTTGTGGACCGTAACCCACAATTTGGGTTGTTTTTGGCCAAATCACATATTTCGTGGACTATATAACCCACATTTTTTATCATTTTCAGCCAACTCACAATTTCTCGTGGACTTTAAACCCACAAATTTTGCAGTTTTTTTTGCCATTTTATTTCTTGCTTTCCTCAATTTCATTATTTCTTGTGGACTTAACCGACAATTTTATTATTTTCAGCCAAATGAGTTGCGCTCTCTCGCATAGAGATATATATATGAGCCTCCAAATTCACGTTTTTTAGTTCACAATTACCTGCAATTTCAATCATTTTTTACCAAATCACATTCTTGCTTTTTTGCATGGAAATATTATGCGGGTTTCCAAATTCGTGATTTCTCGTTGAGTATAACCCACAACTTTGGTCATTTTTACCGAATCACGATTTTTCTTGGGACTATATCCACTAATTTTGGTTATTTTTTGCAAAATTATTTCTTGCTATCCGGTATAGAAATATTTATGCGAGCTACTAAATTCACGATTTCTCGTGTATTATAATCCACAATTTTCATCTTTTTTGGCCAAATCAAATCCGAATTTTCCACATGGATATTTATGTCCAATCATGATTTCTCGTGGACTTCAATCCATTATTTTCATTGTTTTTGGCCTAATTGTATCTTGCTTTCCTGCATAGAAATATTTATGTATGCTTCCAAATTCATGATTTCTTTTGGACTATTACCCAAAATTTTGGTCGTTGTCATCTTTCTCATGGATTTTAATCCATTATTTTAGTTGTTTTTGGGAAAATTATATCTTGCTTTGCATAGAAATATTTGTGTGCTCCCAAATTCATGATTTCTCTTGGATTATAACACAAAAATTTGGTTGTTTTCATCCAACTCACAATTTCCCATGAACTATTACCGAAATTTTTCCTTTTTTTTGGCTAAATCAATTTCTACTTTTAACACGAATATTTATGCGAGCTTTCAAATTCACGATTTCTCGTGGACTATAACCCATAATTTTGTCGTTTTTGGCCAAATCACGATATCTCATGGACTATATAACCCTCAACTTTTGTCATTTTTGTTAATATTATGTCTTGCTTTCCCACAGAGAAATATTTATGCAACGTCTCAAATTCACGATTTTTGTGGGCTGTAACCGACAATTTTGGTCTTTTTGGCCAAATCACTTGCTCTCTTGTAGATAAATATTTTATGCGAGCTCCCAAATTCATGATTTCTCGTGGACTATAACTCACATTTTTTGTTGTTTTTGGCCAAGTAACTTCTTCTTTTTCGCATGGAAATATTTATGCTAGCCATCAAATTTGCGATTTCTCGTGGACTATAACCCACATTTTTTGTTGTTTTTGGCCAAGTAACTTCTTCTTTTTCGCATGGAAATATTTATGCTAGCCATCAAATTTGCGATTTCTCGTGGACTATAACCCACAATATTGATCTTTTTTGGCTAAATCACAATTTCTCGTGGACTGTAACACTTATTTTTGGTCATTTGTGGCAAATTTATTTCTTGCTTTTCAAATAGAAATATTTATGCAAGCACCTAAATTCAAGTTTTTTCATGGATTATAGCCCACAGTTCTGGTCGTGTTTGACCAAATTACAATTTCTTGTGGACTATAACCCAAAAATTTGGCCGCTTTTGGCAATATTTTTTTCCTTGCTTTCTTGTATAGAATTTTTTTTTCCTCATGGACTATAATCCAAAATTTTGGTTGTTTTCAGCTAAATCATGATTTCTCGTGGACTGTTACTCACAACTTTGGTTGTTTTTGGCAATATTATTTCTTGCTTTCCTACAGAGAAATATTTATGTGAACTTTTAAATTCATGATTTCTCATGGTCTATAACCGACAATTTTGGTTTTTTCTGGCCAAATCACTTTGAGCTCTCATGTGGATTAATATTTATGTGAGTCCCAAAATTCATGATTGCTCCTGGGCTATAACTCATATTTTTTTGTCATTTTTGGCTGAGTCGCTTCTTATTCACATTGAAACATTTATGCTAGCTCCTAAATTTGCAATTTCTCGTGGATTATGACCCACAATTTTGGTCCTTTTTGGCTAAAGCAAGATGTCTCGTAGACTGTAACCCTCAATTTTGGTCAATTTTTGGCAAAATTATTTCTTGCTTTTTCGAATAGAATCATTTATGCAAGCTCCTAAATTCATGATTTCTCGTGGATTATAACCCACAGTTTTTGGTTGTGTTTAGCTAAATCACGATTTCTCGTGGACTTTTAACTCATAATTTTCGTCGTTTTTCACCAAGTTATGTCATGCTTTCACACCGAAATATTTATGCATAATCCTAAATTTATGATGTATCACGGAATATGACCCAAAATTTTGGTTGTTTTCAGCGAAATCATGATTTCTTGTGGACTATAACCCACAAAATTTGTCATTTTTGGCAATATTATTCTTGCTTTCTCATGAAGACATTTTTTTCGAGCTCTCAGATTCATGATTTTTCACAGATAGTAACATGCAATTTTGGTCTTTCTAGCCAAATCACTTTTGTGTTGTCCTGCGTAGAAATGTTTATTCGAGCTCTTAAATTGCACGATACTTCGTGGATTGGAACTTAATTTTTTATAGTTAAATCATAATTTCTAGAGTACTATTACCAAAAAAAATTCCTCATTTTTGGCTAAATCAATTCCTACTTTCCCACAAACAAATATATATGCATGCTTCCAGATTCACGATTTCTCGTGGACTATAACCCACAATTTTCTTCTTTAGCCGCATCACAATTTCTCATAACCAATAAATTTGGTAGTTTTTTGCCATAATATTTATTGTTTTCCCGCAAGAAATATTCGTTTGAACTTTCGAATTCGTTATTTCTCGTGCACTTAACCCACAATATTTAGTCTTTTAGGCCAAATTACTTTGCACTCTTCCGCATAGAAATATTTATGCGAGCTCCCAAATTCACGATTTATTGTTGACTGTTAACCGCAAATTTGGTTGTTTTTGGTCAAACCACTTCTTGCTTTTTCGCATGGAAATATAATGCTAACCGCCAAATTTGCTATTCTCGTGGACTATCCCACAATTTTGGTCATTTTTGGCAAAGTTATTTTTTGCTTTCCGGAGTAAAAATATTTATACAAGCTCCTATGTTTACAATTTCTCGTGGATTATAACTCACGACTTTGGTAGTTTCAGCTAAATTACAATTTCTCGTAGGTTTTAACTCATAATTTTCTTCGTTTTGGGTCAAAATATATCTTGCTTTCTCGCATAGAAATATTTATGCATGCTTCCAAATTCATGATTTCTCGTTGACTATAATCCACAATTGTGGTGGTTTTTAGCTAAATCATGATTTCTTGTGGAATACATAACCCACAATTTTCGTCATTTTTGGCCAAACAAATTCTTACTTCCCACATATAAATACTTATGCAAGCTTCCAAATTCGCGATTTCTCATGGACTATAACCCACAATTTTGCTCAGTTTTTGTCAATCACTTCTTGCTTTACTGCTTGAAAAATTATTGTTCAAATATTATTGCGACCTCTCAAATTCATGATTTCTCATGGACTATAACCCACAATTTTGGGCATTTACAGCAAAATTCCCAAATTTTGTTGACTGTAACCTCAATTTTCATTGTTTTTAGCCAAATCACATTTTACTTTCCCACATTGAATAATTTATGTGTGCTTCTAAATTCATGATTTCGCGTGGATTAAAACCTACAATTTTGAAACTTTTCAGTCAAATCCCGATGTCCCGTGGACTATCACCTACCATTTTGGTCATTTTTGTCCAAACTATTTCTTACTTTTCCGCTTAGGATTATTTATGCGAGCTCCCAAATTCACGATTTCCCATGGGCTATAACCTTCAATTTTGGTCGTTTTTCACCATATTATTTCTTGCTTTCCTCCATAGAAATATTTATGCGAGCTCTTAAATTCACGAACCCACAATTCTGGTCGTTTTCAATCAAATCATGATTTCTCATAAACTATAACCCACCATTTTGTCGATTTTTGCCAAATATTTTTTGCTTTCTCTCATAGAAATATTTATGTGAGCTTCCAAGTTAACTCTTTCTCATGGACTATAACCCCTCAATTTTGGTCATTTCCAGCTAAATCACGATTATTGTGGATTGTAGCTCACAATTTTTATGCTTTTATAACCAAATCACTTACTCTCACAATTTTCATGTTTTTTTGACCAAATCACTTACTCCGCCATAATATATGTGTGATACCTGGATGTTATGGGAATGATGGATGGAAGGGAAATATGAGGAAATGAGGATAGGATGACGATCACTCTAAGGATACAGAAACACCACCTTGGAATAAACGACAGTAATCAGGGTTAGCATACTGCTCTAGAGATGCAGATTCACCAATACAGAAAAATTCGATAGTCACCACTCCTTGGAGATACAGATAACTCATTCTGCTTTGAGAAGAGAATAAAAATGAGATGTGTTAAAATGAACATTTAATGGAAGCACAAAAGTATGATGCTAATAACTATGCACTTCTTGTAATTAGGTGAAACTATCGTGTGAAATATAGTAAATTAGTAGTATTCAATAATTCTTCTTACGGCACATAGCTATATTTTCTTTTATCAAGTACTTTACTGAAACACTGAGGTTAACTTTTACAACTTTCACCAAACCAATGACTTTGCATCCGCGTTTCCAAATTATCAGGTTCGTCGAATACAGAGCCTCGAGGACAAGCTTGACGCCCTGAAGGCAAGAAACTCCAATCCGAACAGCAACAACGGCAAATCCGTATCTGTGACGACCCAATGGCAGACTTTCGAGTCTGGGATGGGGAGCCTCAGGGCTCCTCCGCCCATGGCATCATCTACTCAAGCAACTAATGACTGGGAACAGTTCGACTGAAGCCTGTGTCTAAATTATCAAGAATAAGTTTTTATCCTTTTGGTCTGCGAGATTTCTTGCTTCACTGTTTTCAACAGAGCTCCTTACAAAGAAAACAGGATTGGCTTACTCATACAAATTGTTGTGATTATGAATTTCCTCTCTCTATATATATTGTATGTATTCATCAGTTTGGACAATAGTTTCCGTGTTTTCTGTATCTGGACATGTTTTCTTCTGAGTTAAGTTAGTTAATCTTCCACTTCACTGTTTTCATAAGTTCTGCTAAAAGTTTGTTGAGGATAATACTGTTCTAAATAGCTGCAGCAAATAATTTGATACGTGCCAGAGCACCTAATATGAAACCTGAGTTGCTTAAGTCCGCAGCACAAGAGATTCAAATGGTTTTCAGTATCTTTTGTTCCCACTTTAAGATTTGTAAGTGGTTATATCACTGAATATTACCTTTATAAGATTATCAGTATAATTTTTTTTTGCCAGAATAAAAATTACCATATAAAAGGCAAACAGGGCAAATGAATGCAACTCACAGGTTTTTATTGGATTAGGATCCCTATTGTGGATAAGCTTCTTTCAGCAACCTAAAATTATTATTTTTCACTCATCATACCATTGAGACAATTGTTGCCATAATAATGTAACCAAGACCAATTCCAAACGTAAAACAGAGCAACAGCGGAATAATGTAATGTCATATGAGCAAACAAAATTTCGATCTTCACAGCAGCAAGAAAATAAATAAGCGTACCACCAAAATTAACTCAGCTGAGTAATTCTCAGTCAATTTTACATATAAAAGGTGGTTACGAATCATAACTTCAACCAATCGCAACATAACATTTTGATCAGCCACAAACACAAAAACTGCTGAAAAATCTAACATGGAAAAGTTGATGGCATCTATGAGGATTCAATATCTGAAAGATCCAACCCTTCTCTGAAGACTTCAAAATCATCAGGGCTCCAACGACAAACAAGGTGGAGCTTGAAGGTAGCCATCTTGATTCCAAGTAATCTCTGCAAACATGAAAAGGAACCTTTTCATTGCAAGAGTCATTAAGTAGTTTGTTCTATGCAAATTTAAGCCAAGTGGCTTGACGTGTTCGATGAATGATGAACTAGGACTAGAAGTTCATAAGCTCAGTGAAAAAAAGTGATTCTTCAATTACAGTACAACTTGTAATGGATTATACTTTCTCATCAGATCATGCGCAAAGAAACAAAAGACGGCATTTAACTAATATTGTAAGAATATTTAGCTATAACTTTTACCTATGGCAAGATAAGGATCCGAACAACTAGATAGGGGTAAGCAATGAGGATAGAATGCACACAAATGAAGCATATTTTTGAGAATAACCATTTAATTGTTCAAAAGTAGAACTATTAAAATATCAAATTTGCAAGAGAGATGATGAAACAAAACATTTTTCCGAAAACTTATGATATTCTAAGAAAATTACCCTGAAGAACTCTCAATCAAGAAAAGATAATATCACAGATTTACCCTTTTCTGTTTTCCTTGATAGACAATGTATAACATCCAACTACAACCTTGAAAATAGTTTATTTCATGATTATGAGTGTTAGGGAAGGCTTACTTTTTGAAGCTTCTAAGTTATGCCAGCTTTTAGTGGCTTTTGGCTTTTATGACAAAATATCATAAAAATTGTTTGGGTAGTATAGTAATTTGTTTGGTCAAACCTAACTTAGTTAGGTGAGTTTATAAGTTAGTTTTTTAAAAGCTGAGGTATATCGACATTTTAAAACGTGACTTATAAGCTAACTTATTTTGTATTTTACCAAATAGGTAGAAATGAAAAAGCTAGCTTAAAAGCTAGTTTGACCAAGAAATAAGCCTCCCCAAACACCCTCTATATCAATACATACATACCAGTATACGAGATGCTTCTGGAGATATAGGGTTTCCTTCTTCACAAACTACAAAGTCTGAAACCAACTCTACAACACCTGCATTTTGAATAGATAGGAAAGAAAATAATTTCATATGTTTATCTACTTTCCGGTAAAAGTATAGTGTAAATGATTTCAATGAGAACTATAAAATAAGAGAAACCAAAAACCTTTGTTCAAGCGAACAGGCATTCCCTGTTTCCGAAGAAATGGCTCCATTTCATGTGTGAACTGTTCCAAAGGACCCTCCTTTAACTCTACCTGTAACAACCAAACACAAGGATATGTAGCACTCAAGTACACAAAATGAGCGCAATAACTCTGCAGAAAAGACTTCTAAATTGTTTCTGCATAATGATGAGGCTTCATTATAAATGCATTCTTTTTAGTAATTTCATGCTCCGCCAAATGAATCAAAATCCAAATAAGAGAGATTAAGAATGAAAGCTTAAATTCTGGAAAATTCTTGCGCTCGGAAGGTTGAGACAGACATGAGGTATCACATGGAATCAAATTATAGACAATAGAACCGAAATGACGAATTGGCCTTTCTTTCTTTTCACACATGCATTTATTTATTAGTGAAACAACAAAACTCCAGGTTGCTATAAAAGCATGGCAAACTAAAGTATGGATCAAGTTACTGGAAAGTCATGCTCTTCAAATTATAAAAGTAATACAAATAATAAAAACTTATAAAAGTTCCAATTTCTATATGTACCTTTTCTGTTGCAGTGCTTCCTGTTCTTGCAAAGTCATGCTCTTCAAATTTTTCAAAAACCCTGCAAAAAAAATTGAAAGATAAACAACTATGAAAAGCATGTTTAAAATCATAATCACAGAAGCTCCATAATAGTTGCACTTGGGTATATAACTTATAAAGTAAAAAACAGATGCAATCGGGACTGATGGAAGATTAACAGGGAAGGAAAATAATTAGCCACTAAACAAAGAATGTTTCTTTCTAGTCTGCCACGAAGAAAATTCAGAATTGCTTTCTAGAAATTTAACCCTAAAGCAAACCCAAAACGTATTAATCCCAATGAAGGATGTCTCATCTTGATGAAGCATTCATTTCAATATACTTAATCACACCCTAAAATTTCTTAATATCTCTCATCTACCTACAGTAGTTTACGCCTCCTTATCCTCAAGTAATGCAACTTGCAACTATAAATGCACTTGTCCCTATCTCATTCAAAGCTAGACTAATTGGAACGCACGTAAGATTTTCATGCGTACTCATGTTTACCACTGCCTATATCTTCCTCGGCGAATAGTGAATACAATAAGCTCATCCACAAAGTTATGCAAGTGGGGTGAACTCCATGCTAGGGGAACTGGAGAAGAAGCCCCCATAAAATTAGTCCCTAGTAGAGCGTACACTTGAACTTCAAAGAACCGTGTGGATATTGCTCAACTGATAGCATCTATGAGTCAACTCATACCCATTAATTTTGAAAACAAAAATTCAGAGTAGTCTATGATACAGATAGTCAAACTAATCAAAAATTTCTCTTTATCCACCCTCATTTACATGGCAACACACTTTCACATTATTACTACTTTTCTTTTCTCACAAGCAGGGAACACAAAGTTATTAAGAAACCAAGTTACAAGTACCTCTGAACCTCCTCCCTGTCCAAATTGGTGAAGAAAAGACCCGAATCACCTCGCAAAAACTGAAACCAATGCCAAATTAGCACAGACACAACTAAAATACAATACCACTAGCAAATAAATGATCAAAAGATTTACTTTAGCAAGCTTATGACAGCCCGGCTTGACTTCATCGCCCACAGACCGACCCAACGAGATCTGCATAACCTTATTCGACCCAAGAAAAAACCTGCCAAAATATTCAATTTTGATTCAGACCCATTATCAATAGCATCAAAATCAGACAAAAAACATCAAAAATTTCTCCACAGCAACCTGCTACTAGACTTGAGCTGCTCTCTAAACTCCTTAAACTTTTGATTCCTCATGTTCTCGAAAGTGAAAACATATGCAGAGCTGTAATCATGCACTGCTTGTTTGATCGCGCCCAAGATTGCTTCTTTATGTCCTCTTCCCTTCTTCTTGGTCTTGGAGAGCGTAACTGAGAAATCAAAATTATTCGATCAAAACACGAAAAGGAATGGTTTGGGGATTGTAGAAATCAATGAGCGGTGAGAAATTTACCAGTTCTGTTGCGTTTGGATTTGGGCATCTTTGATTGGTTAAGGGTTTGTAGCTGAGGTGGGCGTCGTCGCGGGTAGGGAGGACTTGGGAGTTCGGCTGCCTCAGATCTACGGTTTATGAGATGGTCGTCGACAGATGGGGACTTCGGCTGCCTCAGATCAGATCTAGGGTTTATGAGATGGGTCACTTGGGGAGTTAAAAAGCTACTTATATTGGGCCACGAGTTGTTGGGAATAAATCTGAACCGTTCATTGATGATCCAAAGAACATGTGAAACCCTAGGTCATTTGAACATGTCTATTTATATATGGGTAGAAATTGTAATAAAAATTTTGACGGGTAATATTTACAATAAGTTTAATTAATAGGATTTACATATAAAAAGTTATCGAATAGTTAATAATCAGCCGAATTGAATATACATTTAGTTAAATTCTATTCGTTTCTAAGCCGAATACTGAAAAATATTCATTTAGTATTAAATTAACTATCGGATCGAATATGACCGAATATCTGGACGAATATTAACCAAACTGTTTATTAAATGTTTGGTTCACTTCCACCCCTAGCTGCTGAGCTTTGATTCCTCTCTAGGGTTTTTTGTGTTCCCTCGGGTTTTGTTTTGATGCTGGGTTTTTTTTATCAGGGGTCCACTTGGGCGTTCGTTGGAGAAGGACACCCGTCGGATTTGTACAGCGAATTCTGATCGTTGGATGATTTCGGGCTGGAAGTTGGGCCGGGCTGAGGTTTCATTCCCAGCCCACTGTAGCTGCGAAACCAGAATGGCCCGTAATTTATGCACATGGACGGTGTTGAATTTATGGTACACATAGCCGGTGTCGAATTTATAATAGACTATACGGTACAGGCAATAATCTAAAACTTGGATCTCAAAATTTGAAATTTTATATTTTGAAAACTTGTAGCATTTGATGCAGTATAATATCCACAGACATCTAATGATAACTACACTACTCTTCTTTACACAGCAAAAGAGATAAGAATAAACGACACATTTTTCTCTCTCGTAGTATAGAAGAAATAGTGTAGTTATCACTGGAACCAAAAATTCTGGTGATATTGAATTTTAACTCCTGGGTCAAGAAGCCAATAACCATGATCATAAGCATGGTTACTATGCTAAAACAGACGAGCTTAATTTACATGCAGCCAGCTTTGATAAAGGGCTGCACAGAGAAGCTTGAACTTCAGAGTAAAGATAAGATTAACAGCTGAAAAAATGAGATCAAGTTCCAACCAAATCCATCACTAGGTTTTTCCTTCGCACATAATGGAAAACGTTTTAAAAATCTTCTTGAGACAATCAACCCCTCTGGCAAGAAGCAAAAACAAGATGAATAAAAAGTCACAGGCTCTTGAAATCTTCATACACATCAGAGCTGATCCGGGGGAATAATAGATGGATGCATTTTGACCAAGAAAAGGTACTGGATTTTTCCTATCAACTCAATGGCTTATTCGTGGTCTCGCAACAAATGAAACCAAAATTCCTTATACAAATGAGCATCCAACCAGTAACATCAAATTTATTGTGTAAATATCAGCATTGCGCTTCTCAATCACAACCAACTGTATCACTTCTGCTAAGAAGTAGCAGAGAAGCTGAACTGAACACCAGTCTTTGCTCGGTCTTGCTCGGATTTTTTCAGAATGTGACAGTAGTTTATCTGAAATCAAAACCCCAAAGGTCAGTGAAAAGAGTCTTTTCCGGGAATTTAACCACGAGGGCTAGTCATGGATTGGCCCCCTGGTATTATCGCACAATTGCAGATAAACTCCCTGTAGATTGTTGCAGATTTAATATTTTGACTCTTTTACCCTCAGGAGGTCAATTTGTCAAACAATAAAAATGTCTTTCTCTAGGGTAAAAGAGTCAAAAAAATTCACTTATGGAGTGTATTTGCAACAGTAGAACTACAGGAGGTCTATCCGCAATTTGGCGATAGTACAGGGGGTCCATCAGCAATTAACCCCATAATCATAGGTTTGAAGGGAGAAAGCACAAACCTCCATCCTGAACAACTTCGTAGGGACAATCATCCCAATACCTATTGAGCTCCGAGCTGTGCTCCAAAGATTCTGGAGGGAAAAGCTATTGATCTCACCCTCTGTTATTTTAGCTAGATTACCAGCAGTTGCAAAAACATGACCATGAATTCCTGTTTTCCTTAGAATCTCAAGTGGTAAATCAAAAGAGAGGTCAGCAAATGCGGTAATTGCAATATCACCACCAAGAACGTCCAGTTCAGGAGAGGATTGGGAGTCAGGATCATCAGAGGTTCTTGGAATTAACCTTCTCAAATCAGTTGGCCCTAATCCTCGAGTTCTGAACCCTAACAAGGAGGTGGGACCCCCCAAAGTGCAGACTGGAGAAGTACTACCACCGATGTGGAATCGATCTGGAAGAGGAGAGGGTAAAGTACGGAATCCACTTCCCCAAGGCATAATAGCACCTGCAGCAACTCCAAAGTTGAGCGCGCTGTTCAAGAAGCCCAAGGGTAGAGCTGCGCGGAGATCAAACTCCTGTTACAAGTAGAAGAGAGAGTTTATGAAGTTAAGAAATTCTTATATAAGTAGAGTTTACCGAATTCTGTGGAATTAATGGCATACGAGTAAGCAGGCCAGAATATTAACATATGATTGAACAATTTTTCGTCTCAAATACACTAGATAAAATAAATCCAAGGAAAAGCTAAACTATTAAAACAAAATTCTCATGATGACTTTCTCGAACACTGAACACTGTCATCGTTCATTTTACATTTGCCTTGTCTGCTCTTTGTTGTCCTTGTATTCTAGCAAGATGCTTATGGGTGGCCTCCTTTTGCTCAAACCTAATTACTGACTACAAATTGGACTTTTTCATGTCAAAATTAACACTGATCTTAAGATTTATGAGTCCAATTAACTAAAAAAACTATAGAAAATATCATACTTCCATGGTCAAATAACCAGTGCCACTGATTAGGTATATCATTGACTATACTGGGGGTAAATAACCATTGGTTTCGTACTAGTTTGCATAGATTCTCAAAGAAACTATGTAGAGAGAGTCTGAACCGTTCTTTTCCATAGCCTCATCGCATTAACTCTTCTGCTTAAAGCATGTCTGTCAACTTACATTGCTGGGTTCACAAGAAACCCTTGTTTTGACTCCCAAAGAAAGCCTAACTAAGTACAAGCTCAAGATTATCAAACTAATTAACAATCTCCAATCTGATTATGAATAAAGAAATTTCAACCATCCAGGGATAATCTGTCATCATCCCATGCTCTCATCGTAAAAAATAATGGCTACTTAATGACTTTTTGATAGCAAAATCACAAAACCACTTAAAGATTGAAAATTTCAAGTCACTGGTGAAATACAGCTAGCAATAGTATATACCTTAGGGAGCCATGTGTAACATTATCGCATAAACACACAAGAGAAATAATGATTCTCCAATGTGCAATCAAAATCAAAACAAAGTAAAAGCATGAGTGAGACATCAAAAAGGAAGACCAAACAGTGCATTCTCATGCATACTTTAATAGAAGCAACCTAAACTTTAAAATTGATACCAAACTAAGCCTCCGTATGATAGTGAATAACAGCTAGAACTATAAGAGCCAAAGTTATAAGCAAGAGCCTGTGTTCTTAGATTTATAACTACAAATGCACATGATATACTCAGAAGGATCTAGCTTAGATTCAAATTTTCTTTGCAATCTGCACAGCTCACAGTTGCAGCTATACACTGAGCACAAGCAAAATGGCTTTTCTGACCTCAACTGACTAGGACAAAAACATTTTGTATGACTGAATAATTATTAGAGTTTGCAAATATTAAACTTTTAAATGTGAAGCAGGGGGGAGGTATGGCAACAGAATGACAGTTTCATAATTAAAAAGAAAGCAAGAGTTTAACCTGTCGTATGAACCTCAAGGCCTTACTATCTGGTCCAAGCCCACTAACTTGCGTTGAAGTTAGGAAGGCATATCCCTTTGTCGGCCTCATCTGTGAATCTCTGCGATCAAGTTTGTAAGTATACTTTATTGAGGAGAGAAGACTATGCCCTAATTGCCTCCTTGTAGACTTGGATGCCATGCGTAGTGGATCAGTTAAATGCCGCCATGTAAGACTGTACGCCAAATCATGGTTCCTAGTTGAGAGTAAACCAAAAGAAACACCTAAGAGGTGTTCTTTATATGATGAGAACTTCAACCAGTCTTGAGAAAGTAATGATACTCGAGCTGATAAAGGAGTTGGTATTGCCTTGAATCTGGGCAAGGAAACCCCAGCACTTACTTCTGTTGTCTGGTCCCAGCCATACGATCCAGATAGGTCCCAAATGTCAGCATAGCCAAAAGGGTTTTTCAACTTGAGAGATCCTTCTAACGACCAAGTTTTGGCCTGCCAAAAAAGTTGTTCCAAAGGTTATAAACTGTACAGAAGTAAACATTTACTAAATGGCATCTAATGGGAACGTACATGAATTGTTCTCATAGAACATTCTGTCGGAAAATTATATGCTTTGATTGTCATCTAATAAGTGGCTTATCAGAACTATTTAGCTATGATAAGGCAGAACGATAAACGAAAGATCAGACGAGAGAAGTCACCAATCACCATCTTTTCGTGATTTTAAAACATGATAATCAGCAAATACAAGAATCAATTAGCGTTTACAGATGATATTCATATTTAGCTACATCATAAAAGAAACGTTACATGATGTGGTAATATATTTAGACAACAATAATGAAAACCTTGTTAAAAATTGATCAGTCTGCATACATGGAATATATGTATATGTACACGGGCACACAGCGGAATACAGGTCCGCACGAGCAAGCTGTGTTATACAAGGTGTCCTAATAGTTTCTACATTAGGCGTACATCAGCAAAATATGCCCTCAATGACTTGCGCCTCCCTTCCTACCTCTGTCCCTCCCTTAAGGTGTTCTAACAATTACTTTATCAGGAGTATAACAAAGCTGTGCCCTGAATGGCCTTAGTGTCCCTCCCTCCCTCAAGGTGCTATACCAAATATTACATTAGGTGTGCATCAGCTAAATATCCAGGAATGACCTCAGCCTCCCTCTCCCCTTCCTCTTTGTCTGTGTAGTGAATGTCTGCATGCACACAAAAGCGTACACAATAAAAGAATAGCTAGCGACAAAATAAGTTCTGGCAATTACGATATCAGCAAAATCTGCACTGATGTCAATACATAAGGTAATTTGACAATTACTTCATCAGGCATTTATCTGTCAATATGACCTCTTCTCTGCCATCAGTTATGCCTGAACGATATTCTATGAATAACCTTAGATTCCCTTGTTGTGTACGAGTTATTTGAGCATGCAGGCAAAAATGTGTGCATGTGTGTAGGAATGCAGGGACTTCTGAAAGTAATATCCAAGATGCTATAAAATATGGTTCATCACGTACATGTCAGCAAATATGCCCTCCATAATATCAGATTCTAAGAAACAAATCACTCCATAGAATCAACATTGTGAGGCTGTGAGCAAGTAAATAAATCTAACTGAACAAGTTAACCCGATTACTGGTTCAAACCTGGTAAATTGGGCCTGAAATACACTTGCAACTTCAATGGTAGATTAGTTTCTACTCAAAACATCATTGTGGGATCAAAATTGTCTATCTTAACTAGTTGTGTATAGGGCACATCCAATTAAGTTAGATAACTTTGGTTTGCATGTTTATTCCGTCAAATTCACCCTACGGGAGAGGGTTTTAATTTTTATATGGATTCATGGTTTCCAATGGACGCAAGAGTCATTGCTAATTACCCTTTCTAAAGAAAGAAACCATCAATTAAGAGTCAAATAAATTTCATCAAAATAAAAGTAAATTCATAAGGCAAGAAAGCACCATAATTTTATTTAAAAAAAGATCATATACTTGGCTTAACCGGGGGCAGGGGCATACTGCCGTACAAATTCTCATATAAAAACTTAGACTAGGGATGTGACAATTGAATTTGGATTCAGGTGCGCCTTAGAGATGTGAAGTGGAATTTGGATTCTGAGCCCTGTTTAGTAACATGAATAAATTTAGAAATTGGCCCAGTTTAATGACGTAGAGGTTAATTTTGGAATTTTGCCCCATTTAACAACTTGGAGGTCAATTTTGAAATTTAGCCGAGTTTAGCGACATAGAGGTCAATTTTGGAATTCTGCCCAGTTTAACGACGCTAAGGTCAGTTTTGAGACCTTGCCCAGTTTAACGACGTGGAGATCAAATTTGGTCTCGGTTCCAGTTTAGTGGCATAGAGGTCAAATTTGGTTTGGCACAGTTAGAGAGTTGGCGGTCAATTTGGAATTTAGTCCAGTTTAACGACATAGAGGTCAAATTTTGATTTGTTCCAGTTTAACAACGTAGAGGTCAAATTTAAAATTTAGTCTAGTTTAATTTAATGACGTAGATGACAAGTTTGATATTTTCCAATCTAACGACATGGAGGTTAAATTTGGTATTTTCCTTGAATTGTGCATTCTGACTAGTTTAACTATTTAGGAGGTATACACAATTGAACCTTCTGATTTTGATTGTGTACATTTTTTTACACAAATATGTTGCATTTCTTTTGCACTGGATTTTATTTTCTAGTATTTTCTTTCTGAGCAAATTTTAATCTAGTTTAGGGGCGTAGAGGTCTGTCGATTTTTGGTGACTTTCGTATTTTCTTGAATTTATCTGTGTTTTTAACATTTTGAGGGATCAATCCGCAATTCATGGAAGTTTATAGACGAACGCGCAATTTTTGCAATTTCTAAATTTTACAGGAGGTGGAAATGCAATTTCTGTATTTTAGGGACTAAAACACAATTTCTGCAATTTCTGAACTTTTCAGGGGGGCACAGTGCAATTTCTAACTGGATTGCAAAACTAGACTGAAATGTAATTTTTGCAGTTTTCCAGGGTATAAACTGCAAATTTTGGACTGTTTTGCAGTTTCTTAGCTTAAATGCAATTTCTGTAATTTTCCAAAGAGTAAACTGTAAATTCTGGATTGTTTTGCAGTTTCTGGATTTGTCAGGGACGAAACAGCAATTGTTGTAGTTTTACTAAGGTGCAAACTACAAATTTACAGAGATTTGGAGGGGGCTTTTATAAAGTTCCCAAAATCCAGAGGCCTGTTTGTAATTTACAAAATTTGCATATGAGATCGATTGTGATAACTGGGATTTTTCTATAAAGACTTATCTACAATCATTTGGGACTGTTATGATTTTTTTTACAACAAATTTGAGCTAATGCTAGCCATGGCAGTTCCTTTACAAAGGGGTGGTTTTAGTGTATTCTAAGAATTCAATTTTAAACACTCAACATGTAGAGCCTCTTTGAGATCCCCATCAAATTATAATTCTTTTCTCATTCAAATTCTTAGAAAGCTCTATAAATTAACAGTATGGCTATAGGCTTGGAGTATTGAGAATCAACATCACCTTGGAGCTAAGCGGATTTGCTCAATAGAGACTTGTAAGGAGTTGACGAGATTGCCACCCAAAGGTATACATAATTTCACTTATCAACTATCAGGCCGTAATAACACGAATCCCTTTAATTCATAGTTTTTTCCATCTCTTTTTTTTTCTTTTTGCATGAATCCAATTTACTTCGTTAATATTTTCAGAGCAATTCGGTGTTGATCATGCGCTCCAAAAAACCCGTTTTCTTTAATTCATAATTTTCTTGTTCTGTACCAATTATCATGTTAATACCTTCGGAGCGATTCGATGTGGTTATTCACATAAAAAGGAGTACTCTATTCTTAATCTTTTTTTTATTTTTTTTACAAAGTAGAATCAAATAATATTTTTGCACTCTTTGCAATTTGTATCTAAAAATAATCATCAAAATTCCAAATCGAAGACAATAATGAACATGGTGAGTATAGGGACTCTGAATGATTGCCGAGATTCGGATTGGGGAGTGCAGGGACTCTAAAAAAGTACAAAGACTCTATAGATGAGTGCAAAGACTCAAATTAAAGGGGAGTACAGGGATTCCAAAAGAGTGCAAAGACTCTGAGGAGTACAGGGACTCCAGAAGAATGCAGAGACCCTGAAGTGCAGGACAGGGACTCCATATCTATTTGTTATTTATCTTGATTAATCAGCAGTAAGGGAGACTCAAATTAAAGGGGAGTACAGGGATTCCAAAAGAGTGCAAAGACTCTGAGGAGTACAGGGACTCCAGAAGAATGCAGAGACCCTGAAGTGCAGGACAGGGACTCCATATCTATTTGTTATTTATCTTGATTAATCAGCAGTAAGGGATACCTAGGCTAGCTAAGAGAGGAGGCTGAGAATTTTTCTTGGCCTTTTTTTTTTGTAACCAGCAGAGGGAGAACGAAGGTCGCTGGTGATTTTTTTTCTCTTTGATGAGATCAAATCCAAACTTATATACTTTGTCTCTTTGATTTTATCTTCTTGATGCTCTGTTCTATCACCCATCCCTTTAATTGTTAAGCGGTGGTTTGGATCCAAACCCTCCGCTTCAACTTCTTTTCCTTTTAAATTGAATTTGAAACAAGATGACCACCAATCACTTGCTTGCTTAATGCTTGTTAGTGAGAGATAAAATATTAACAGCAAATTCCAATTCGAGTGTCATCCATCTTTGCCAAGGCCTTTTTTTATAATGATATGATAAGCTTTGATAGAATTCGCAGTCCTTTTATTTACTTTTTTGATGGGAGTTAACCACAATAGCTTATATTTGGTTTCACTTGAATTTATCACGCGTATTATTAAATGTTATTAACTCTCACCGAATATCCTAATTTGATTTAAATTCTTTATTTTCACGGCCTCGGCTCTCTTTATTCTGCTAAAGACAGATTTTTCATTCACCTTACAAATTTTACTATAGAGTTCAAAGCTCATGGTGATTGGGCATAAGTCAAGTTGTAATACTCCTCTGTATTTTTTTTTGGAAAAAATTAGCTTGAACAATCATTATATAGCAGAAATCCTAATCAGACACCTCACCCATCAACATTCAATCTCCAACGCCCTTTCCTTATATTACAATGTAAAGGCTAAATTTAATCATATCTTTCACTAAATCAGTGACCTTGTCAAGTAAAACAGTGGTGTGCTTTCCACAATGATCACATCTGACTATTCATTTTAGGTATCAATATTTAATCATAATCACTATGCAGGATATATCAATTCCTTAATCCTTATCACGATTGCATGTTCTTTTTCGTCCAGTAAGATACCCGAGTCATGACTGGTGCTACTCTTGATTTAACCAAAGATCCTAATACGAAAACCCAAAGTGGCAGTCCTTATCAACCCACACATCCTACTCAAGTCGAGCATTTCAAATGCACTTCATAACAGTCACGGTCTCTATGGGTGTGAGTGAGTTTCGCTAATTTCCAACTCATCCACTAAAATATCTGATTCTAACGTGAGCAAGTCAGACATACATTGCAACCAAACAAAACAAAATTGTAAATGAAGAATGGAGATCACAGAGAGCATTAAAATACCTAGGCTAGCTAAGAGAGGAGGCTGAGAATTTTTCTTGGCCTTTTTTTTTTGTAACCAGCAGAGGGAGAACGAAGGTCGCTGGTGATTTTTTTTCTCTTTGATGAGATCAAATCCAAACTTATATACTTTGTCTCTTTGATTTTATCTTCTTGATGCTCTGTTCTATCACCCATCCCTTTAATTGTTAAGCGGTGGTTTGGATCCAAACCCTCCGCTTCAACTTCTTTTCCTTTTAAATTGAATTTGAAACAAGATGACCACCAATCACTTGCTTGCTTAATGCTTGTTAGTGAGAGATAAAATATTAACAGCAAATTCCAATTCGAGTGTCATCCATCTTTGCCAAGGCCTTTTTTTATAATGATATGATAAGCTTTGATAGAATTCGCAGTCCTTTTATTTACTTTTTTGATGGGAGTTAACCACAATAGCTTATATTTGGTTTCACTTGAATTTATCACGCGTATTATTAAATGTTATTAACTCTCACCGAATATCCTAATTTGATTTAAATTCTTTATTTTCACGGCCTCGGCTCTCTTTATTCTGCTAAAGACAGATTTTTCATTCACCTTACAAATTTTACTATAGAGTTCAAAGCTCATGGTGATTGGGCATAAGTCAAGTTGTAATACTCCTCTGTATTTTTTTTTGGAAAAAATTAGCTTGAACAATCATTATATAGCAGAAATCCTAATCAGACACCTCACCCATCAACATTCAATCTCCAACGCCCTTTCCTTATATTACAATGTAAAGGCTAAATTTAATCATATCTTTCACTAAATCAGTGACCTTGTCAAGTAAAACAGTGGTGTGCTTTCCACAATGATCACATCTGACTATTCATTTTAGGTATCAATATTTAATCATAATCACTATGCAGGATATATCAATTCCTTAATCCTTATCACGATTGCATGTTCTTTTTCGTCCAGTAAGATACCCGAGTCATGACTGGTGCTACTCTTGATTTAACCAAAGATCCTAATACGAAAACCCAAAGTGGCAGTCCTTATCAACCCACACATCCTACTCAAGTCGAGCATTTCAAATGCACTTCATAACAGTCACGGTCTCTATGGGTGTGAGTGAGTTTCGCTAATTTCCAACTCATCCACTAAAATATCTGATTCTAACGTGAGCAAGTCAGACATACATTGCAACCAAACAAAACAAAATTGTAAATGAAGAATCCCAACGTCTATCCAACTAAAATCTAATCAAAACCCTCACCTCAGGCTTCGAGAAGACCCCAATATCCCCCGTGAGCGGGTTCTTCGGCTCCAGAACCTCGATCACCACATTCGCCGTCCCCGGGAGCTCCTGCGGCCCGGCGTCGAGCGTAATCGACACCGAATCAAACACATCCAACCTCTGCAGCCTCACATTGGCGACGCTCGCAGCCCTCAGCAGCTCCTGCATCGTCTCCGCCGACCTGAACGCTTCGAGGACCTCGGCCTCGATCAGGGACTCATCGGTCCTGTTGTTGCCCTTGATGATCACGTCGTGGACTCGGATCCGGACTGGCCCGCTGCTGAGGCGGCGGAATAGGGTTTGGAGCTTCTCGCGCTGGGACGAGGGGGTTTCGTCCTCGTCCTCCTCTTCTTCGTCGAGGTCGTCGTCGTCGTCGTAGTCGAGCTCATCGTCGCCGTTTTCTTCGGGATCTTGCTCTTCTTCTTCTTCTGGGGGTTTTTCGGGGTTAGGGTTAGGGTTTTGTTCTTCGGAGGTCGCCATGAGAGAGACGGAGAGAGAGAGAGAAGCTTTACAGGGGACTGATGAGGGCTGTTTTGGGGAACGGGCTCTTTTTGGTTTTAGGAACAATCAGATTGAACCGGGTACGGTTCAGGGGCCAGGACGCGGCTCATATGAATGGGCCGAATGTCAATATATTAGTTAACTTTGGGCCGTCAATGGGCCGGGATGCGCGTACAGATAGGTTGATCATTTACACCTTTATCAGCTGGCTAAATCACCAGATGGCTAAAGTTCACTCAAAATACTACAAACTTTACCAGTTTTGCCGTATATACGTAAATGCATTTTGTGGAGAAAAATACTATAAGTTACTATAATTTTTACACGTTGGAACCGTCGGTCTTGCAAACGTGAAAATTTTTACTTGAATGTTTCTCTATGACACGATTTTAGAGCTTTTTAACTATTAGAATTTGTTAAATTTGATATTAATCAACCAAAAATATTATTCAAACTTATCTTAACTCTACTTTAAAATAGACTTCGGATATGTCTAATGATAAATTTAATAAAAATATTAATTGTCGGAAAGTTATAAAAGTCAGAGAATGTTGGTGACATATGGGAATATTGGAGTGAAAAAGTTCATGTTTGCATGATCGATAGTACTAATATTATGAACATGTGGTTTTTTCCCGCCACAAAATATAGCTTATGGTATATTAAGTGACGGAGCGGGAAAACTTTACGGTATTTAAGTGCGATTTAACCATACCATATTTGTATTTTTCATACGCCTCTCTTATCAATTTGATTTTTTTTCTAGTTTTGACGTTTTTTTTTTTTTTGAGCCAAACATGTAATTAGACCAATAACTTAGCCACAAGCTCGGGAAGCATCTTTCCTCCCAGTAGTTTTTTGACTCCCAATCTTTCTCTTCGCTATATTTTGATATATTTTGAAGTAATATCATGTCATTCCCTTCTTTTGTCCCATAATTTTATATCCAAGAGTCGACTTTCTTGCATTATAAGGTGTGCTTCAATGCCCCAAATTTATATTTTCAATATGCTCTAGCCCCCCAACTTTCAAACATGTGCTGCAGCCCCACCTTTTTGAAAAAATTATTAAAAGCCCCTCTCCCCAAGTTCCTATGCAAACTTTATACACAATCCCCATTTTACCCTCCCCTACACACCCCTCCTCCTCCTCCGTTCCCCCTCTGCCTCCGCCCCGCCTCCCTCCCCTCCCGCTAACACCTCCCTACGCTCCCCCCCCCGCCTCCCCCCTACAGCTCCCTCCTCCTCCTCACCGCCTCCCTCCCACGCTGCACCTCCCTCGCCTCCCCCCCCCGTCTCCTCCCCGATGCACTCCTGTCTCCCTCCCCCGATGCACCTCCTTCCTCCTCCTCCGGTCCTCCTTTGCCCCTTCCCCGCTCCGTCGCCAGCGCGTCCCGAGAAACTTCGCGTGGGCACATTAATGTTAACTCTTTTTCTGTAACATGTTAACTCTTTTCTGTAACATGTTAACTCTTTTCTATTAACTGTTAACTTTTTTCTGTAACATGTTAGTTGTTAGAGTTAACATGTTAGCTGTAAGAGTTAACATGTTAGTTGTAAGAATTAACATGTTATCTGTAAGGGTTAACATGTTACAGAAAAAAGTTAACATTTTACAGAAAAAAGTTAACATGTTACAGAAAAGAGTTAACATTTTACAGAAAAGAGTTAACATGTTACCGAAAAGAGTTAACATGTTACAGAAAAGAGTTAACATTTTTCAGAAAAGAGTTAACATCCACTGACATAAGAAAGATGAGGGTAAATTCGGGATTTAAATCAGCTGATATGTCTAATCATGAGCTGGCATGTCTATTAATCAAGTGCTGAAATGAGCTGGAATCATGATGGAGGGGCTTGGCCATATTTTTTTCAAAAAGGAGGGGCTAAAGAACATTAAAAAAAATAGGAGGATAATATTAATAGTAAGAGCAGAGACTAAGCAATTCTCCTTTGTTATTCCCGCAGCCAGTGATATCTATTTTAATATAACAGATTATAGATTTTAAGAGAAATCAAATTAGTTTTGTTCACAGGTAGTTCAACACCATAGATGGTTTCTGTAACCTTATCATTATGTTGATAGAATAATAACGCAACTATAGAGCTATTTTCTTCGATAGAATAATAGCTATTTTCTGAAGAAATAATCTTTGGAATTATCCCCCATAAAGAACTTCAATTTTTCAGCTAGCATTTCTGCTTTTACTTTTTCGTTCTTTTTCTGTACAAATCCGAAACAAAGTAAACACCATCAAAACTCCTACTGAGGCTGGATAAAAAGTCCTAAATTCTGTTCAAAAATGGAAAATTAAATTAGTCTATCCGTCTGAGCTCCGTAAGTCGATGCGTTCTACTGGGCTCAAACTTGCGTAAGTCGATGCGTTCTACTGGGCTCAAACTTGCGTCACGGCCCATGGGTGGGTTTAAAAATTTAAGAAACTTTGAATTGGGCAGGGGCCGCGCGTGCGCGTACCCCCACAGCAACAAATTATGACGTCCACTCTCCCACTTGGGGAGATGGTAGTCCAGCGCTCCCACAAAGTGCAATGTGGGCCACTGAACCAGGCCTGGGCCTTCTTGATCACCCATGGACCCCGTCCAGGTAAGTATGGTCTAATGCCGCACCCGCTCGCTATCTTGTAGCCACCCCCCACTCTCTTCGTCTGCTCAGCTTGTCGATGTGGGACTAAACCTCTGCAAGTTCCAACTTCCGCAACTCCGTTTGACGACCTCGACGAAGAAGAGGAGGACGAGGACGAAACCCCCTCGTCCCAGCGCGAGAAGCTCCAAACCCTATTCCGCCGCCTCAGCAGCGGGCCAGTCCGGATCCGAGTCCACGACGTGATCATCAAGGGCAACAACAGGACCGATGAGTCCCTGATCGAGGCCGAGGTCCTCGAAGCGTTCAGGTCGGCGGGGACGATGCAGGAGCTGCTGAGGGCTGCGAGCGTCGCCAATGTGAGGTTGCAGAGGTTGGATGTGTTTGATTCGGTGTCGATTACGCTCGACGCTGGGCCGCCGGAGCTCCCGGGGACGGCGAACGTGGTGATCGAGGTTCTGGAGCCGAAGAACCCGCTCACGGGGGATATTGGGGTCTTCTCGAAGGCCTGAGGTGAGGGTTTTGATTAGATTTTAGTTGGATAGGCGTTGGGATTCTTCATTTACAATTTTGTTTTGTTTGGTTGAAATGCTCGAGTTGAGTAGGATGCGTGGGTTGATGAGGACTGCCACTTTGGGTTTTCGTATTAGGATCTTTGGTTAAATCAAGAGCAGCACCAGTCATGACTTGGGTATCTTACTGGACGAAAAAAGAGCATGCAATCATGATAAGGATTAAGGAATTGATAAATCCTGCATAGAGATTATGATTAAATTTTGATACCCTGGAATGAATAGTCAGATGTGATCCTTGTGGAAAGCACGCCACTGTTTTACTTGACAAGGTCACTAATTTAGTGAAAGATATGATTAAATTCAGCCTTTACATTGTAATATAAGGAAAGGGCATTGGAGATTGAATGTTGATGGGTGAGGTGTCTGATTAGGATTTCTGCTTTATAATGATTGTTCAAGCTAATTTAAAAAAAAAAAAATACAGAGGAGCTTTACAACTTGACTTATGCCCAATCACCGTGCGCTTTGAGCTCTATAGTAAAATTTGTAAGGTGAATGAAAAGTCTGTCTTTAGCGGAATAAAGAGAGCCGAGGCCATGAAAATAAAGAATTTAAATCAAATTAGGATACTCGGTGAGAGTTAATAATATTTAATAACACACGTGATAAATTCAAGTGAAACCAAATATAAGCTATTGTGGTTAACTCCCATCAAAAAATTAAATAAAAGGACTATGTGAATGCTATCAAAGCTTATCATATCATTATAAAAAAAGGCCTTGGCAAAGATGGATGACACTCGAATTGGAATTTTCTGTTAATATTTTATCTCTCACTAACAAGCATTAAGCAAGCAAATGATTGGTGGTCACCTTGTTTCAAATTCAATTTAAAAGGAAAAGAAGTTGAAGCGGAGGGTTTGGATCCTCCCCGTATGTCAACACCAAAACGCGGAGGTCCTCCCCGTGTGTCAGCAACAAAACGCTGGAGTCGGATCTGCGTTACAACACCAAAACGCGGAGGTCCTCCCCGCGTGTCAACATCAAAACGCCGGAGTCGAACCTGCGTTGCAACATCAAAACATGGGGGTCAGACCTGCGTTTTTTGTGTTTGACTGGTTCAAACATAACCTATACGGTTTTATCTCCACTTAATGGGGTCGGTTACACCCCATTATGGAGAGATTTTAGGAGGGATTGCACCCCTTAAACTCTTGAACAGTTTTAAAATTGTTTCTCACGATTTGGGGACGGTTACACCCCACTGAGGAGTGATTTAAGGGGTAGTTACACCCCTTAATCTTTTATAAATAACTAAAAATCAATTCAGTTTAGGGGTTGGAACTTCTTGGCTCGGATTGATCCTCTTTTGAGCAGCGAAGAGGAGATCTTTGGCTTGGCAGCGAGGGGGAGATCGACGTTCATCCTCAGCAACGATCGACCACCGGAGCTTTCTTCTAGCCTTGGCTTATTAACCGATCTTCGGTTCAAATCAACTCTTTCACAGAGTTATTGGCTTATTAACCGATCTTCGGTTCAAATCAACTCTTTCACAGAGTTATTCTAAACTCGTTCAGAGTTCTAAAACTTGCTTTGCAAGTTCTCCACAGTGTCAAACCGTGAGGAGAAGACATCGTTCCAGTGAATCAAGACGTTCGGATCGTCAACGAAGAGCAAATTCGACGCGAGCATTCGAAGGAGGCACTTCATCGCCACCGTGAAGAACCCAGTTTTAAACAAAGGGGAGAATCCAGATCATTCTTTTTTGTAATCGGAATCCAATTGTAATTAAGATTAAAGGAATACAAATATATTTTCTTTCGTTTCTTTCATTACAAATTTTCCCACGAACAATGACGATCCTATATCATTCGAATATGACAACTCAATGTGAGATTGAGCAAAGAATTTGAAGTGAAGGATCTGGATCGGGTTCGATACTTTCTTGGGATAGAGATAACTCATGGAGCGGAGGGGATTGTTCTCTCCCAGAGGAAGTATGCACTGGATCTTCTTGCAGAGATAAGGATGTTAGCGTGCAAACCTATTACTACACCGATCGATCAGAGGTTTAAGCTGAGTGTTGAGGCAGGAGAACCAGTTGATCGTGAGAGATATCAGAGGCTAGTTGGCAGGTTGATCTACCTGAGTCACACACGTCCAGACATCTCATTTGCTGTGAGCGTGGTGAGCCGCTACATGCATGACACGAGGAAGGGTCATATGGACGTAGTATACCTGATCCTGAAGTATCTGAAGGGTGCCCATGTCAAAGGGCTACTATTCAAGAGGAGTGGTCATGTGAACATTGAGGGCTACTGTGACTCAGATTGGGCTAGCTGCGGAGATGATAGGAGGTCTACCTCAGGATATTGCATATTTGTAGGAGGCAACTTGGTCTCCTGGAAAAGCAAGAAGCAATTTGTGGTGGCAAGATCAACAACTGAAGCGGAGTACAGAGCCATGGCCTTGAGGGTTGCGGAGTTGATGTGGCTGAAAAGCATGTTGGTAGAGCTGAAGCTAGATCAAGGGGCCAATATTATGAACATGTGGTATTTTCCCGCCACAAAATATAGCTTATGGTATATTAAGTGACAGAGTGGGAAAACTTTACCGTATTTAAGTGCAATTTAACCATACCATATTTGTGTTTTTTTTACACCTCTCTTATCAGTTTGATTTTTTTTTTCTTATTTTCATGATTTTTTTTAGCCAAACATGTAATTAGACCAATAACTTCACCACAAACTCGGGAAGCATCTTTCCTCCCAGCAGTTTTTGACTCCCAATCTTTCTCTTCGCTATGTTTTGAAGTAATATCACGTCATTCCCTTCTTTTATCCTATAATTTTATTTCCAAGAGTCAACTTTCTTGCATTATAAGGTGGGCATAGTTATTTTGATAATTTAATGTAAAAAAAACTTGATATGCAATGGTAAATGATTTGATGAATTTCTACGCATAGTGCATAGCATAGAATGGAGCAACAGGGGGAAAAAGTATTTAGTAGTATGTAATATAAGGTTGGTCTCAAAATGATGATAATATTAATAGTAAGAGCAGAGACTAAACAATTCTCCTTTGTTATTCCCGCAGCCAATGACATCTATTTTAATATAACAGATTATAGATTTTAAGAGAAATCAAATTAGTTTTGTTCACAGGTAGTTCAACACCATAGATGGTTTCTGTAACCTTATCATTATGTTGATAGAATAATAATGCAACTATAGAGCTATTTTCTCTTCGATAGAATAATAATGCAACTATAGAGCTATTTTCTGAAGAAATAATCTTTGGAATTATCACTATAAGGAACTTTAATTTTTAAGCTAGTTAATCTGCTTTTTCTTTTTCTTTCTTTTTCTGTACAAATCCGAAACAATGTAAACACCATCATAACTCCTACTGAGGCTGGATAGAAAGTCTAAATTCTGTTCAAAAATGGTAATTTAAATTAGTCTATCCATTTGGGCTCCGTAACACGTTGCGTTCTACTGGGCCGCAACTGACAAAAATTTATGTCACGGGCCATCTGTGGGTTTAAAAATTTAAGTAACTTTGAATTGGGCAGGGGCCGCGCGTGCGCGTACCCCCACAGCAACAAATTATGACGTCCACTCTCCCACTTGGGGAGATGGTAGTCCAGCGCACCCACAAAGTGCAATGTGGGCCACTGAACCAGGCCTGGGCCTTCTTGATCACCCATGGACCCCGTCCAGGTAAGTATGGTCTAAGGCCGCACCCGCTCGCTATCTTGTAGCCACCCCCCACTCTCTTCGTCTGCTCAGCTTGTCGATGTGGGACTAAACCTCTGCAAGTTCTAACTTCCGCAACTCCGTTTGCCTATTGATTTTGCCTTGCTCTTTAATGGGTATTTAGCAAACTCGATTTCTTGCGTGAGTCCTGTATGCACAAAAACAAAAAGCCTCAACTTAAAAATCAGCTAAAAGAAATAACAAAAAGCCTACTCAAGTTTCACAACGCGAAGCTTATTGTACTGCTGATTAGCACAAGACGCTGATTATAGATTCCATCGTGTCAGTAATTACAGACAAAACAAACAATTTGAAGAAATCCTCTTGCGATCAAGATCCACTCTGCACACCGCCCTTAGTAGTTTACCGAAAGAAAGAAAACTAAGTAACACAAAAAATAATAATAATAATAAATGGAAGCTACCTGCATGTATCTTCTAATATAAATAGTTGTAGCATGTACTATTTTTGAAGTATCCAAAGGCACACCTGAAACAAATTTTTTCATGACTATATGTAGAATGTAGAGAATAGAATGAGGCTCAAAAAGTTAATTTTCATTGAGAATAGCTTGGGCTTATATTGCCTTACACCTCACACACACAATTACATATAACCCCTCATACAATCTATAATTACATTCTCAACACTCTTCCTCAAGATGGACGAAAGATATCTATTAAACTCATCTTGTCACACCCTCTATCTAGGTCTACTGAGCTAAGCCCTTTAGTCAAGCAGTCTGCAGTCTGATCCTTAGTTGGAACATGGTCTAACTTCAGTAACCCATTTGTTCAGCTTCTCTTTGATGAAAAACCTATCAATCTCGATGTGCTTAGTTATGTCATGTTGCACTGGGTTGTTGGCAAGGCTGATAGCTGACTTGTTGTCGCATCACAACCTAATATTGGCCCCTTGATCTAGCTTCAGCTCTACCAGCATGCTTTTCAGCCACATCAACTCCGCAACCCCCAAGGTCATGGTTCTGTACTCTGCTTCAGCTGTTGATCTTGCCACCATAAATTGCTTCTTGCTTTTCCAGGAGACCAAGTTACCTCCTACAAATATGCAATATCCTGAGATAGACCTCCTATCATCTCCGCAGCTAGCCCAATCTGAGTCACAGTAGCCCTCAATGTTCACATGGCCACTCCTCTTGAATAGTAGCCCTTTGACAGGGGCACCCTTCAGATACTTCAGGATCTGGTATATTGCGTCCATATGATATGACCCTTCCTCGGGTCATGCATGTAGCGGCTCACCATGCTCACCGCAAGTGAGATGTCTGGACGTGTGTGACTCAGGTAGATCAACCTGCCAACTAGCCTCTGATATCTCTCACGATCAACTGGTTCTCCTGCCTCAACACTCAGCTTAAACCTCTGATTGATCGGTGTAGTAATAGGTTTGCACGCCAACATCCTTATCTCTGCAAGAAGATCCAGTGCATACTTCCTCTGGGAGAGAACAATCCCCTCCGCTCCATGAGTTATCTCTATCCCAAGAAAGTATCGAACCCGACCCAGATCCTTCACTTCAAATTCTTTGCTCAATCTCACATTGAGTTGCCATATTCGAATGATATAGGATCGTCATGTATCTCATGGTCAGTACTAGGCATGACATTGCATATGCGATTAGTTGCTTGAGTAGATATATGTCAACTCCTGGTATGCCTCATTGGAATGCCTTGAAATGGCTTTTAAGATATTTAAAATCCTTTGTGGATGTAGGATTAACCTTCTCTAAGTGTTTTAAAGGTGTTAAACTAGCTGGCTATGTAGATTCCAATTATACAAATGATAAAGATAATAAAAAAATCTACCACTTCCTATGTGTTTACTTTGTGTGGCTCTTGCATAAGTTGGAAATCCTCACTACAAGGCATTGTTGCTTTATCTACTACTGAATCTGAGTATGTTGCTACCACTGAAACTTTTAAAGAAGCTATTTGACTTAGGGGCCTTATATCTGAAATTGATTTTCTTGATAAAAATGTGGTTGTGTTTTCTGATAGTTGATCTGCTATTCAATTTTGCAAAAAACTTGTTTTTCATGATAGAACTAAACATATTGATGTTAGATTTCATTACATTCGGGATATAGTTGAAAAGAGTATTGTTAAGTTAGAGAAATTTTCTTCAGAATTTAATCCGGTTGACATGGGTACTAAGTGTTTGCCTGCTAAAAAATTTATCCCGTGTCAAAGAATCTTGAAATTTGACTTTGGGTAATTTTCCTTTGCTTTGTGTGTTGCCTTTGTGGCCTATTAACCTGCTTTGTGCTTGTTAGTAGCTTTGTGTTTTTTCCCTTTGACCTCGATGACCGTTTGATAGAGTTCGGTCCTTTGTGGACTTGGCATGCTTGGTGATCTTGCCCCGATCTGTGTGATCTGAGTTTACTTTGTGTATTCTCTTCCATTGTTTGTATCTTATTTGTGATCATACAGGTAATGGTTTGGCGATGATGAGTCCTGCAGTTATGTGTTTTTCCTCAGTGCACTACCTTGGGCCAAAGGTGGAGATTGTTACTATTTTGTTGGCCCAAAGCTGCTGGCCCGTTTGCTAAAGAGACCTACTTCCTACCTCTTTATTCCCTTGCCCATCCCTTTGTCTTGTCTGCTTCCACTTTGAGTCCCATCTCCCATCCCTATAGGTCTGCTCCTACCTTTCAAAACCCTAGCCTATCTCTCCCGTGTCAACTGCCCCCTTCTCTACTTAAGTCGAAGGGCTGGTAGTAACTCGAGACGAGAAAAGAAGCTACGGCGACGAGATTTTAAGCTTTGTGCTCTACTGCTTTGTGTGATCCCTTCACCCTTTGTGAGTGATTGAGGAGAAGAATAGTAACACGTTCCCCTTGTGTCCTTGGTGGTGCAAATCTGAGGAAACAGTGACTGAAGAGTCTGACTTCTGAGTCAAACAATGACGACATCGAACCTCTACAATGGGCATAGTTATTTTGATAATTTAACGTAAAAGAAACTTGAAATACAATGGTAAATGATTTGATGAATTTCTGCGCATAGTGCATAGAATAGAGCAACAGTGGAGGGAAAATGTATTTAGTAGATGATGGATTGGTTCTCCTGTTACGGGAAGAGCGCACACACACTGAAGAGGAAGAGCAACAAATTTCAGGTGTTAATTTTCACACACATACATTACTGTCATATTTAAAAACAAATACAGAGTGGTTTGCAAACGTGCACAAGAAGCCTGTAACTAACTGACTAGAAATTAACCAATTAAGTAACCAACTAATTAACCTATGAAATATATAACGTTACAAGATTAATTCAACATTCACCCCTTTAATCTTGTTGCAACTTTTTTTACATCCTTTAGTCCTATCTTCTCACGCAGCTCGACAAATCTCTGTCGACCAAGTGGCTTATGTAATGTAAGGTTGGTCTCAAAATGATGATAATGTACTTCTTTATTACTAAAGGAGAACAAAAAAAAAATATAATGAACAGTAACCTAATGTTCACAACAATAGAAAAAATAAAATGAATAACTAGGCTCTGTTTGGATACCATGATGTTTTACTTGTTTCCATGGTGTTTTTACCAAAACAAAACACCATGTGTTTGGAAACCATAGTGTTTTTTGAGCTAAATCATCCTCAAATCAAAAACACAACACTTATTTCAAAACATATTTTACGCGTTTTAAGTTTTGTGTTTTGGTTTTGAGTTTGAGGAGATGTTAATATAATATCTAACATAATATATTAAATATAATTAATATATGAGAAATATGGGTATGCTTGGTACCAAGCACAAAAAGTTATGCTTGGTAGTGATGTGGTACAATCCCCTCCACTCATTCAAATGGTTGCATATCCTAATGCACTCTTCAACCCATGTGAATGTGGTCCCCTATTTAAATGAGTGGAGGGGATTGTGCCACCTCACTACCAAGCACAAAATTTATACTTGGTGCCAAGCATACCCATATTTCTCTTAATATATAGTTATTATCAACATACTTATTATATTATACTATATTATCTTATAATTAATCAAACATATTAGTAATATTTATTAAATAATATAAATATATAATAATTAAAATATCTTATAAATAATATAATAATGTAAAAAAAATATTCATAATACAATAATATTGATTTATACCATAACTTATTATAGTATTGTTAATAAACTCTAACATATTAGAAACTATAATATATTATATAATATTAAAATATTTGTAATATATAAATTTATTAATAATATATTAGTAATAAAATAATATTAACATTATTAATAATATTCTATTATATTAATAATAGTATAATATTATATTAATAATAGTATAATATTATACTAATAAAAGTATAATATTATACGAATAATAATATAATATTATTTTAAGAATATTATATAATATATAACAATAACAAATTGATATACCAAAATAATTAAATATATAATTATTTAAACATAATATGTAATAATTATAATATAATAATAATTATAAAATAATATAACTCATTAAAGACCAAAATAATTAAATATATAATTATTTGAAAATAATATGTAATAATTATAATATAATAATAATTATAAAATAATATAACTCATTAAAGTATAATATAAAAAATATTAATATATTATAAAGTAAAATAATTTTTAACAAAAAATAACTTATTGCTAACCAATGTTAATGTAAAAATAATATATTCATAATATAATAATGTTGATTTATATCATAAATTATTAAAATATTATTAATAAACTCTAACATATTAGAAACTATAATGTATTATGTAATATTAAAATATTTGTAATATATGAATTTATTAATAATGTAATAGTAATAAAATAATATTAACATTATTAATAATATCATATTCTGTTAATAATAGTATAATATTATATTAATAATAGTATAGAAAATAATAAAATAATTGTAGACGTATAAAAATGCCTATAGATATGAATATCTCTATCTAAGTCAGAGGAGATCATCCAAAGCCAAAAGAAGCAAAGGAACATGTGAAACAACATAGAAGAACAATATGAACACCCACGACAAGGAACACTGACGCGCATAGGCACGGAAGTGAAAGGTGTTGTGCATACAAACAGAGTGACACACCTATGGGAAGTTGTAGAGCTATTCGATATCTTTCAAACGCATCTTAGATCACCTCATTCCGATATCAGACGAGGAAGTTAGAGCAAAAATACCCGAGACAACGCAAACTGCCTCGGAGGTGCGCACCAGTGATAACTGACGCGACAATAGCACGGCAGTACAAGGTGACGCGCAAGCAAACAGAGTGACGCGCCAATAGATAGTTGTATATCTCTTCGTTAGCTTTCCAACGCATCTTGGATCACCTTATTTCGACATCGGACGAGGAAGTTAGAGCCAAAATACCCGAGACAACGCAAACTGTCTCGGAGGTGCGCGCCAGTGATAACTGACACGGAAATAGCGCGACAGTACAAGGTGACGTGCAAGCAAACCGCGTGATGCGCCAATGGGGAGTTGTAGATCTCTTCGTTAGCTTTCCAACGCATCTTGGATCACCTCATTCCGACATCGGACGAGGAAGTTAGAGCCAAAATACCCGAGACAACGCAAACTGTCTCGGAGGTGCGCGCCAGTGATAACTGACACGGAAATAGCGCGACAGTACAAGGTGACGTGCAAGCAAACCGCGTGATGCGCCAATGGGGAGTTGTAGATCTCTTCGTTAGCTTTCCAACGCATCTTGGATCACCTCATTCCGACATCGGACGAGGAAGTTAGAGCCAAAATACCCGAAACATCACAAACGGTCTCGGAGGTGCGCGTCAGTGGCGACTGCCGCGGAAATGTCTTGTACATTTAAGCCATGATATGATCCAAATTTGAAGAAGCTCAAAAGACAAAAGTTGTAGATCTCTTCGTCATCTTTCCAATGCATCTTGGATCACCTCATTCCGACAAGGGACAAGGAAGTTAGAGCCAAAATACCCGAGAGGTGTCACTGTCGCGGCAATGCGCGTCACCGCCTACTGCCGCGGCCACTGAGAAGCTGAAAACGTTATTTTTGACAGTTTTCTCTAGTTTTATGCAGCCCACATGGCTTATTAATTGCTGGGGGTTACTTATGAACGTGGGGGAAGCAGTTACAAGCGAAAATCATGCCCACTACCCACAAAAATCGTGACATTTAAGGAGTTAAAAGTCGTGGGATGGCGGTTACAAAACTAAATGGGAACCACTCCTTTGACCGCGCCAGCAACGACTGCCGCGCCAAAGGAATCTCTTCAGCCGCGCCACCTATGACTGACGCACCCAAAGGGAATATGGCTGGTTGGTTATTTTACCCTCATTTCAGCAGTTATGCACCTTTATCACTATAAATACTTCCATATACACGGGAAAAAGGGGGAGCCAAGCAGAGAGAGCAGATTGGGGCATAGAAGACTTGAGCTTTTGATAATCTTGAGGAAGAGAGAGAGAGAATTTTCACCTTTCATAAACAACGTTTGGTGATTCCTAGAGATCTAAGCTCAGACTTGATATTTGGAAGAGCGAACATCTTACATCGATAAGATATTCGCTTCAAATTCTTACTTCGATAAACAAAGGAAGAATCTCTAAACCCCCCTCATAATCTGTGAATCGGTGGTCCACGAGCCAAAGCACTCCCGGCACAGGCAAAGTCCCACAAAACAGAATTCGATAAACGATTTCTGTGTTATTTTCTCGAGAGTTGTAATTTGTTTATTTTTCATTATAATTTTCTGTAAACGATTGAAGTTTTAATGAAATCGACAATGGAAACAACTTTCGCTAAAAACAATAATATTATTTTAAAAATATTATATAATATATAACAATAACAAATTGATATACCAAAATGATTAATATATAAGTATTTGAAAATAATATGTAATGATTATAATATAATAATAATTATAACAAAATATAACTCATTAAAGTACAATATAATATTATAATATATTATATAATATTATATTATATTATACTAATACTTATAATAATATTATAATATAAACTAAATATTATAACATTTTATTTATAATATATTTTATTATAATTAATGTATAATATATTAATAATATGTTTAATACTAATGTTGTAATTAGGTCAAACTAATGTTGACAAAAACACTCAACATGGTATTTGAAAATACTTTACGGGAAAAACACAACACCATAGTGTTTTTTTACAAAAGCAACTGAAAAAACACCATGGTATCCAAACGAAGCCTAACTAATCCACGTACTTAAGCATAGATAAAACTTCCCAGATTTCACGAGCCACGTTCTCAAAATTTTGGCAACCACTGTTCCGCTTCTTTAACTGCAGTCCCCACGATTCTCTCTCTTCCTCTCTACATATTTCTTCAGAAAATTAAAAAAAAATCAAATTGAGAGCGAAGAAAACACTTCCTCCCCTCTTGCCCTCTCCCGAGGTCTCCGTCCCCATCTCCTCCTCCCCCTCCACCCAATCCCCTCTCCACCTCATCCTCCCTCTCTCCTCAGGCCGCTGCCGACTCTGCCAAACTCCCTCGTTCGAAACCCGACCTCCACCGATCCCGCACCTCCCCTACCATGTCCGCCATCAACATCCTCTCTCACCCCGTCAACCCTGCCGCAGAAGGCGGTGACCCGAAACGCCCCTCAATTGTTTCTTCGAATCGCGTTCTTCACCCGCCTCTGCTGCAGTTAAAAAAGGTGATTATAAGTAAAGGTTAGCCTTGAGTGATTCAGTTTCTGCCACAATGAAGTTTATGAAGCTTGGTAATTAAAATGTTTGTTCGTTAGCCTTGAGTGATTCAGTTTCTGCCACAATGAAGTTTATGAAGCTTGGTAATTAAAATGTTTGTTCTTTTTACATATTTATAGAGATGCAAGAGCTGATTTGGATGATTAATAAAATCTTTGGTAATTAAAATGTTGGTAGGTAATAAAAGTAAAATCTGATTTTCGAAAATTTGTGAACTTGATTCATTTTTAATCTATTTGATTTTAGATCTTAATTTTTCTAGAATGATAATACATCTAATGACGTGCGTGATGGAATCAGTGATCGAGAGTATCTATCGGTTTCAGGTGATAGTTTTTACTATGATTTTTGCTTAATTTCTTGATTTTAATAAATTTTATTGTTGAACGTGTTTATATTTTTGATGTTCACCATGTATTTTAAATGAGGATTAGAAACTTTAAAATTTACTTATCTATAAAATTGTTAATGATAGTTTCCTGTTATTTATACTTTCATAATGTTGGCTATTTCATTATATTTACTGATTTTTGAAAAGTTATATTTTCTTTAATGAACCTTATGAGCAGAATAAATATAGCCATTGATGTTGTCTATGCTTTGGATTATCTCCACCATCGCTGTGGAAAACTGGTCGTCCACTGTGATCTTAAGCTGATCAACATTCTTTTCGATGATAATATGATTGTCCATGTTGGTGATTTCGGCTTAGCCAAGTTTCTGGAGAAGGTTTCTTCTCAGTACTTGGCAGGTTCAACTGGCCTCAAAGGGACTATTGGATATATTGCTCCAGGTGAAAACATCTTTTTTTTAAAAATATTGTTTTCCTATTGCTCCAGGTGAAAAACTTCTATTTTTTTTATTTTCCTTGCTTTTATATATATGTTGATATTATTTCTCTTAGGCTTAAAGTTTAAGATAGAAACAAGGCGTACATGCATGTTTTTCTAACACTTTTCAGTTAGAATGTTCTGAAATTAAAGATGTAACTATATTATCATAGTCAATCTATCACATATACAAGTCCATCTGATGTATTTCACCGGAAGTATTATCTTGACCTTACATATTTTGCCTAATTAATTTGATAAAAAAAGTATATTACTCTGTTTTACTTTATTTTGCCTTTCGGAATTATCTCGGACTAATCCTTCTGTATAATCAACATTTACCAGAGTACGGAATGGGGCACGAAGTTTCTACTCGTGGAAATGTGTATAGCTATGGGATACTTTTACTGTAAATGTTTACTGAAGTGATGAGATGTTTGTAGTAAGCATTACTCTTCGTATGTTTGTGGAGAAGGCATTTCCTGAACGAATAACTAATATCGTCGATGCTCATTTGCTCACTCAAGTGATGATGATGCTGAAATCATGAATTATGGAAGAACAATTGAGTGCGTAGCTTCAATGCTTAGAATTAGTATCTCATGCTCGAATGAAAGAGAGAATGGAGATGGACAACATCATCATCGAACTGCATATTGTCAGAGATTTGTTCACAAGGGATGGAAATCAGGAAGAAAAGCAAAGAGCACTGAAGATTGGCGGTCCATCTACAAATATTTTGTAACAAAATATGGTAAGGGCATGTGTTTTGCATGTCACATATACACACACAAAATCCCTACTGAAATCAATTTGATCTGTCATGATAGTTAAGTGAGGATGACTCCTTTACACACACACAAAATCCCTACTGAAATCAATTTGATCTGTCATGATAGTTAAGTGAGGATGACTCCTTTACTTTAGGTAGTTTGTATTGAAATCTATCTGCTTGATTGTAGTGGTTAGATTAATCGTGAATATTTGATTGTGAAATGGTCATTGAAGTAACCATGCTAATAGCAATTTATATAAGTGGAAGAAAAAGTTTCCTATCTGTCTATGTGTGTGTATTTATTGTGTACTATCGACATGAAAATACCTCTGCTAGAATATTAGTAATTTAACAATATGACCCTTAAATAAAAGGTGGACAGAAGAAACAATTCTTGCTGTAGGTCATTGCTGTGTTGTTAAATTTTGTTTTCTGCAGAATTTCCCACATTATCTTTATGATATACTTCCATAGTTGCATATATAAGTACATGTCAGTAGAAATAGAGTATAAGATGGTAAATAGAGTACAACTATGGAATATTAATGTTTACAACAAAGAGATCCTGGTGATATCTTTAATAGTCTTAAGCCTTAATACATTTGTCAATATCATTGATTTCTTTCCAATATCATTGGTTTACGCTTGCTCTTAGGTGAACATGAAGGAGCTCAAAGCATGACTACTGCAAAACCTATGGAGTTTGTCTTCTCAAGCGAACTACCAGTAGAGAGAATGGAGATAGAGAAACTCTTGAAGCAACTAAATGGTAACAGCAACATAGAGATTTTCAGTGACAGCAAGAGAGATTCTCTTTTTTATATATTATCGTAAATAATGGTTTTGTGTTTCAGAGGATTTGGATTAGTTGGAACTATATTGTGCTACCTATATATTTATCTACATCAGAATTTGTGTTTCAGAGGATTTGGATTAGTTGGAACTATATTGTGCTACCTATATATTTATCTACATCAGAAACCTTATTATGAAACTTTGGTTAATGATGTGCTACCTATATATTTATCTACATCAGAAACCTTATTATGAAACTTTGGTTAATGATGGCTAGGGATGATATAACCATGAAGATAAAAGCTAAAGTTTCTAAATTTCGTCCATGACAATTAAGGATCATTTTTATATATTTTGGAGGGTTTGTATTGAGGAGAAAATGAAAATTTCTTCTGCCACAGTTGGTGAGAGAATTAACTATTGATATGTGCTCAGATCTGAATATTTCCTCTAAAGTAATGAACTATTGATATGTGTTCAGAGCTGAAGATTTCCTCTGTGACCTAATTACATGTAAATGCAACATAATGCTCTATCCCTTATCTCACAAATTTTCTCAATTTACTACTTATAGTTGAACCCTCAAATAATATTTTTGTTATTTTTCGGAAGTGTTTACCATTTCAAAATTGGTTATAGTTGAACCCTTTTATTCATTCTATTTTACTCTTTTAAAACTAAGAGGAGGGGTGTTTCAAGTGCAATGGTAGAAAAGAGGCGAGGGCTAAGCACGGGTACATACTAGTATTAATAGTAAGAGCAGAGATTAAACAATTCTCCTTTGTTATTTCTGCAGCCAGTGGTATCAACAGAGATTAAAAGCAATTGTTTGTCATTTTTGCAATGAGTGATATCTATTTTAATATAACATATTATAGATGATAAGAGAAACCAAATTAGTTTTGTTCACATATAGTTCAACGCCATAGATGGTTTCTGTAACCTTATCATTCTGTTAATAGAATAATAATGCAACTATAGAGCTATTTTCTGAAGAAATAATCATTGGAATTATCCCTATAAGGAACTTAACCTCTTCAGCTAGTAAATCTGTTTTTACTTTTTCTACAAATCCGAAACAAAGTAAACACCATCAAAACTCCTATGAGGCTGGATAAAAGTCAAAAACTATTTTCTAAAATGGAAAATTAAATTAGTCTATCCATCTGGGCTTGGTAAGTCGATGAGTTCAAACGGGCTCCAGCTGACAAAAACTTGCGTCACGGCCCATCGGTGGGTTTAAAAATTTAAGAAACTTTGAATTGGGCAGGGGCCGCGCGTGCGCGTACCCCCACAGCAACAAATTATGACGTCCACTCTCCCACTTGGGGAGATGGCAGTCCAGCGCACCCACAAAGTGCAATGTGGGCCACTGAACCAGGCCTGGGCCTTCTTGATCACCCATGGACCCCGTCCAGGTAAGTATGGTCTAAGGCCGCACCCGCTCGCTATCTTGTAGCCACCCCCCACTCTCTTCGTCTGCTCAGCTTGTCGATGTGGGACTAAACGTCTGCAAGTTCTCCGTTTGCCTATTGATTTTGCCTTGCCCTTTAATGGGTATTTAGCAAACTCGATTTCCTGCGTGAGAAAATCAACTAAAAGAAAAATCAGCTAAAAGAAATAACAAAAAATCCTACTCAAGTTTCACAACACGAAGCTTATTGTATTGCTGATTAGCACAAGAAGCTGATTATAGATTCCATTGTGTCAGTAATTACAGACAAAACAAATAATTTGAAGAAATCCTCTTGCAATCAAGATCCACTCTGCACACCGCCCTTAGTAGTTTAGTTTACCGAAAGAAAGAAAACTAAGAAACAAAAAAATAAAAATAAAAATAAATGGAAGCTACCTGCATGTATCTTCTAATATAAATATTTGTAGCATGTAATATTTTGAAGTATCCAAAGGCACACCTGAAACAAATACTTTCATGACTATACACAAGAATACTTTCGACTATCAAGCCTAGCACGATTTTTACACGAATCGTCAAAGACCACAAACCCATTTACCAAAATGCAAAGGATCAACTTTATCAAAAATTAATCCCTAAAAAAATTTCTCTTCTTTTCTTATTAACGAACCATCTCCAATATTGAATATGTACAATTTCTTTACAAACAATTGTGAATAACCAACCAATGCAATAAAAAAAAATCAAGTCTATTAACAAATAAAATCATCTCTACTCTAAGCTACTGCTCTCTGTCGAAATAATCTCGAGCTCTGCCCACCACAACGGCGATAATTTTGGACTAACTGCATCTGGTGTCAGTGCTGTGATCTTTCTCAACTCAGTAACAACCTCAGCCATTGTCGGTCTCTTCTTAGGATCTGCTTTAATACACAACTTAATTATTTTGCATAGAGCAGTCACATCTTCTTCATTGAATGATTCAAGGGTAGTATCGACCATATCCATTAGCGGTCTCCTGCCATTTAAATGGCTCGAAGCCCATAACACAAGGAGCCCATCATCTTCAGAGAATGGTAATCTTCCCGATATGATTTCCAACAATATGATTCCAAACTTATATACATTGCCTTCTTGAGTTGATAATTGTTGATCTAGAACTCCTAAGCTTTCAAAAGATTGGTCGGTTTCTTTTTCTTCGTTCCAGAAGGAAAGATCAGAGGTTTTTGCAGCATAATCTTCACATAGGTAGATAGAAGAGGAGCTTAGATTTTTGAGAATGATAGGAGGGTTAAGCTGGTGCATGTGATTCAAAGAGTATGCTATGCCCATGATTATTCTTAATCGTGCAGCCCAATCCAAGTGGTCTGCTTCGTTAACTGCAAATACATGATAATTTGAATGAGTTTGATGCAAATTTATTGAAGCGTCATTATGGATAGACCCCATGTAGTATCGCTGTTTTGAACTTACTACATCTCTAGTTTTATTTTGTAGATAGAACCATAAGTTATATATTTTTTGACTCTTTTCCCCTTGGGGGTGTATTTGTCAAAAAAAAAAAAAAAAAAACAATCTCTCTTTCTCTAAGGGTAAAAGAATTGAAAGAAATTCACTCAGGGGATCTATCTGCAAAAATAAAACTAGAGGGGTAGTAAATTCAAAAGAGTGATACTACAGGCCACTCGGGGGTGTATTTGTCAAAAAAACAATTCCCTTTCTCTAAGGGTAAAAAAAGCATTAAAAGAAATTCATTTAGGGAGTCTAATCTGCAAAAGTAAAACTAGAGTAGTAATAAGTCTGCAGTTAACCTTTTTTGAAATTAAAAGAAAAGATACCAAAAAATATATAAGGATGGATATAAATTGGGGTACTCACTGTGTAAATGTTCAAAAAGTGTCCCATTTGGGGCATACTCATAAACCATCATCCTAGTGAAGGGCTTTTCCTGCTCACAGTATCCAATAAGATTCATAAAATTCTTATGGTTCACTTTGGACAACACTGAGATCTGAAACATAGACAGGATAATACCAGAAGTTAGAGATTGTATGCAAATTACAAGAGAACTGCAAGAAGAAAATTGAAATTAGCTACCTTCTTCCTGAATTGGGCTTCATGATGATCTGACCAATCTTTAGCAGAAGTTACAGTACTATATGTCACTGCGATTTCAACTCCGCTTGATAGTGTTCCCTTGTACAAAATACAATCTGATAAAGAACCGATAACATTGCTGAAATCTTCACAAGCTGATTCCAGTTCTGACCGTTTAAGAGAAGGTACACCTATGTCATGATAGTGTGAATACACAGATTAAAATCATAAGAGATTTACATAAATAGTAAAGGAGGGAGAAAAAACACATACATGGAAATTGGGCATGAACACATCTGGCTTAGCATGAATACTGATGCACACAGTTCTAAAAGCTATCAGTGCAATCAGAAGTATCTGTGTTGCACTTATAGATAGTGTTGATTGCATTGATAGCTGATAGTGATGCGTGCAGCAAAATTCGTGGTAGGCCAGATGTCTTATCCCCTATTCCTATATGATTTCAATTTTAAAAGAGACCAACCTGTCACAAATGCTTTCTGTAACTGCCCGCTTAAACCAGTTTTCCAAGGCATAACGGTGACAACTTCGTTCAGTCGGCAACAAGAGCGGTATATAATGAATAATGCAACAAGAAACAAAGATCCAGTTGCAACTGACAAGAAGACTATCAAGGGAATGTTTTTGTGCTTCTTTCCTGAGGGTGGACTAAATGATAAAGGAGGATATGATTTTGCACGGTCATGAAGGTGCTTTGGAGAAACAGAAGGGAATGCTGGTGAGTTGGATTGGAAGTGGGATGATAGCCCAATTGGTGCAGAAGATGATGGTGATGGTGATGGTGATGGTGAAGGTGAAGGTGATGATGATGGTGACGGTGATGATGATGGTGCTGAGGCAGGAGCCATATTTATATTTTGATGTATATGATGATCGCCTTTGTGTTCGCTAACTTCTTGAAGAAGTCTCCGTATGGTCGCATTTTCAGTCTTCCTATCAGAGATAAAAGTCATCTTTAGGTTACTAGCTCTATGGATGAGAATAAAAATAGATATTTTACAATTTCCCCACTAAGTATAACCAACATCTTTTTACACAATGAAAAATTATACAATATATCCACTCGTAAGCAAGCTTAAGCTTATAAGCACCCTGAATATGAGACTCTTGAACATGCATATGTTTGTAAATGGTGCAAGTTGCTCAAACTTCTATATGAAGTTGAAGCTTTTCCAATTAATTACGTGATGCTATAAGTCTATAATTTACCTTGTAACAGCAAAGTTCTTCGAGGATGATAACTTTTCGTCCAACAGAAGCTCGGAAAGCATACTGAGATCCTGGAGTTCTGATGGAATATTTCCTATGTACTTATTGTTTCTTAATACACTGTAGTAGGTTAAGCACAAAGAAAGAAAATTGTTATAATGGGAGCTTTGATACTTCAATCAATCATTAAAATTAGAGTATGGCTCCTACTTACAGTATTTGTAGAGACGAAATACTCCCAATTTCAGATGGAAATGGACCACTGAAATTATTATGTCCCAAGTCCAATATCTCAAGCTTCTGCAATAGACCAATCGCGTTTGGGATGGTTCCACAGAATGAATTGTTATGGATAATACTGTAGGTCATGAAAATAGAATCTATGAGACATCAAGAGAAGGAGAAAGATATGGTAATCCCAATTCTAAAGTTTGGGTAATTTGCAAATAACCCCTCTCATATACACCTTCAGTCGTACTTAACGCCCCTCAACTTATTTATTAGCACTTAGCCCCCTCAATTCGTGCAATTTATCTTTCTAAATATTCAATGTCGAGGGATGCCAGCTTGCTAGGTGTTAATTACCGAGTTGGAGGCGTTAATTGCAATAGATGGTACATTGAGGGTGTTTATGTGCAATTTACCTCAAAGCTTTTACCAAATGACTAAGACAACATATATGGAGATAACATATTGAGCGGAATTGCAAGTAGCAAAAATATTGACAGAAGTTATTGTTAATCTTCTCTTAATAAGAAAAGAAAAAGAACCACGGGAAATGGCTTGTATGGAAAGTGATATGTCATTCATCCCACGTTCGAAGGAAGAAACATAATTTCAAAATCAAAACCAAGTTCCCCAATTTACGTACTTTAATCAACATGATGCAAATCATGAATAATGCCATTGACTCATGAATTTGCTGTCCTAAGCGAAGCATAAATACAAACGCAATCCATACTAATTATATATACATTTCAGGTCTAGTTTATGCATGGAAATGAGCATAACTATGTAATACAAGCGTTCATGTGCAACTTGTTGGGGAATTTCAGTCTCCCCGCCTACCACGATATGCGCAACTCGGAAGCCAACCCCAATCAATAAGATAGAACAACCACAATCAAGAAAAAAGAACATCGAGATTTACGTGGTTCGGTCGACCAACTTCGACCTACGTCCACGGGGCAACAATACGAGAAATTCACTATGTATCAGGGAGAACTACAAGAGGAACCACTCAACTCTCGTCTCTCAATCTCTCAACCTCACATACATAATCAACTCTCATATTCTCTCCAAAGCCCACTCATTGTAATCTTTTGCATGGATAAAGACTACGAAACTCTCTCTCTCTCTCATCTACTACATCTCTACTTTTTCTTCATGGTTTTTCCTCCACCAATAGAAGAATATATATAGGGAAACCAAAACCCTATCTCTAGCTTAACTTCCTAATTAGAATAGGATTCAAACTCCTAATCATGATAAAACCCAAACTCCTAATCATGATAGAACTCAAACTCCTAATCATGATAGAACTCTAACCCTATCTAATTCTCATGAAGTTACACAAAGAATCAAAGACAAAATCCCAACACAACATTTGAGGACTAAACTCTTTTACGACCACTTGGCAATGTAATCGTGAAACAGGTATCAACTTACAGAGACTTCAAATGTATAAGATTTCCAAGCTTCGGTGTGAGCGTTCCCTCGAGAAGAAGATCCTTCAAGTTCCTACAATAGCATTGAAAATATCATGATTCATATGTATGAAAAATATAACAATAGGTAACAGGTTGATTATCATTAAAATAGATTTGCAAAAGAGTATATATGCTGATGGAGAACATAACAGTTAACTGGATCTTTTTGAGTGTTCATTTTAATCTTTACAAATAAAAATGAATGCTCGAAGCAGGAATTCAGTAGGATAAAAGTCTCAACAATTGAAAAGAGCGGAGATATCTCCTATTCATTCAAGAATCCAGTAATTTCATGCAGACATTTCGAAAAAGCAGAAAATGCAACAAACCACAGTAGAAAGTTGTAGATTAGCTAATACGACGGATTGCAGGCCACACCAGTTCAAAGCCGAAGCTCTTTACAGTATTATCACCTATGTAATCAAAACCTTCAATTCTAGACACCCAACAGTTCCATAGATTACATCGAGCTTTTGATTTCTTCTACCCATAAAATTAAAATCCAATTCAGCATGAAATATTACATTTGGGATCAGGATAATGTCACAACTTGACATGTACTGAAAACATTAGTTTCCTCAAAGATTAATACTAAGAATCACATAAATATGCATATACCACCACCGAAATCAAACCGAACTTTTATCAAATAAATGACTATAATAACAATATGTCCAATAAAAAAACAAAGAAAAAATTCGTTTAAATTTAGTGTAACTTACAGAGACACAACTCTTCCATCATCTGAGCATTCTACACCAAACCAAGAACAATGATCATCTGTCCCTTCAATCCAAGTTGACAAAGCTCCATAAGGGTCAATGGCAATTCCATCTCTAAACCTCAACAAAATCCTCCCTTCATAAACAAAAAAAACACTAAATTGCTTGAAAAACCGATTTTGACACAAAACCCATGTCAAATTCATCAAAAAGATGATACCTTCATCATTCAAACACGCAGAAAGATCCAAGCTTTGACGCAGCAAAAAGAGCGGCAGCAACAAAAAGGCCCTTTTAAGCCTAAACCTCTCCATTTCTTTTTTACAGAGCAAAGAGATGGGTGTTTCTAATTCAATGATGAGAATGTAAGCAGAAAAAGAAGGGATTTTGGAATGACTGAGTTGTTATCACGCGGAGTTGAGGAGAGATTGGTGATGTGAAATGTTCAAAGCAGAGTCCGCGGAGTCTTTGACGGGGGAAAATATTTTTCTGTATTTGTTTGACGATATCAAGTTTTCATCTTGGTTTCGTATTTGGTTTTTGCTTGCGTCTTTCATGGAAAGAGCTGTAAGGGCAAGTGCGGCAGCCTCCCAAGGAGGCTTTTAAAGCAGCTCCCAACGTACTACAACAAGCTCCCAAGGAGGTTCCTAAGTCCTAGTTGACGGTGGGGTTCACCATGGAGCTTCTAAGGAGTTGTTTGGTTCAAGTATTTTGGAGGGGAAAAGAGTCGAAAGCTGCAAGGAAGTGTCAGAGCGCCCTGGGTTTTTTCCGTGCTGTCTCCATTCGCCAGTCACTGACATTTGCAGCTTTCCCCCCAATTCGATAATTTTTGGTGCGATTTGGGCGAAAAGCTGACAAGATGTTAAAAATACCCAACGCCTCCTCAACATCCAAACAGCCCCTAAGATCTCCACAAATTTGTGGAGCACTTGGGAGCTCCTAAGTGGTGGCGGCCTACTAAAAATATTTTTTATTAGATTTATTATTTTAAAATATATTTATAAAATGTTAGAGGTAGAAGAATGAATTTTTTAAGTAATATTTAAGCTTCTAATTGGAAGTTTGTTGGAATATTTGTGCTAGTAGGAAGCTCCTAAGTGGGCCCCATGCTTGAGAGCACTCCAACAAGAGCTCCCTACCAGGAGAGAGAGAGAAGTTGGTGTGTTCTTTGACCCGCCGATTTTGATTTTTTTTCTTTTAAAAAAGTTCGAGTGAACGCCGCATCTCTCTCTCCCTCTATTTTTGTTTTTTGAAGAGTTTTGATTAGTTAAATTCAATTTAGGATTTTTTTTTCAAGGACAATTTTTCTCAGAAAATTAATATTTAAATCTAATTATAAAGTTTGACAAACTACATTTAATTACAAAAATTTACCAATTCTCTGAAAGTTTGTCTGCTATTAAAAAAATTGTCATGGCAGAGATCGGTAATCCCATGTATTTTTTTATGTGTTAAAGATATCATGATTGTCAATCATGGGTATTTTTTAACAAATAGACTTTTTTGAAAAATGTAGGTTAAATCCACTGCTTGTAATTAAATTTCAAATATGGCAAAAAATCACAAAAGACTTTGTCATATCCAAATAAGTTCAAAAAATATTTTATTTCTATCTAGCCCATAAAATACGGTTTTCCATCAACAATCTAGAATAATGATACACTTCCAAACTATAGGGATCTTGTATAATGCGCGAACGGTATTCGTATCATGAAGCTTGAAGACGACAAAAGCTCAAAAAACAAGTTTTTTTTATTATTTATTTTTCACAAAACCTTTAATAATGCATGATATCTACCGAGTTCCACCCTCCTCTTGGATGCTTACCCATGGTCATTGTCAAGTCAATTACGCACGCATGGGGGGAGAAGGAGAAACTCTCAATCAAGCAAATAGCATTGAACTAGACAGATAAGGGGGCGCTACAGGCAAATCCTCGGGCACACCTCCGATCACCCCCCCTCCCAGTACAAGGGCCCCACTTGAGATTTTTTAAAAACCTCAAGTGGGGCCCCCTGCATTGTAGTTAGAGGGGGTTGGCCGGAGGTGTGTCCGAGCGTGTGCCCGTATCATTTTTCCACAGTTAATTTGATTCCTTGTTTAAGTAAATGACCATTTTCTTAATAGCTTGATTGTCTTCTTAAATTGATAGATTAAATTACGATTAGATATTGATTGGAAAGCAATGGCATGTGATGTGCCCAAGCAACAATATAGATCTTAATAATGGAAACATACGTCCTTGGAAAGGCATCTAAAGCCGTTGGTAGTGGAGGACTGCTGCCTTGTTCTATATTTATTAAGATTGTTTCAAGGTCTTAGGCATGTGCTTGCCAATAATGATAAATAATGATAATGATAATAGTGATTGACTAAGGAGGCATTATTTTGAGCGATATATAACCAAAGAACGCACACCTCTGTGAGTATTTTAATTACCTACCAAATTTAAATTTGACATCATGTTTTTTTTTTTTTCAAGAGAGAACTAGTTAGGGTAATATATATAAGTTCATTAATGAAGATGATTCACTAACAACTATTTCTTAGATATACATAGGAAAAACTAGAAGGAAGAAGATGGTCTTTTTCCTTCCTTTTCTGCAACCTTTTTACGAGATGGTTTCTGCCACCTTCTTTTTACGAGATGCATAAGTACGATTTCTAATATTGCGAGAAGCTTCTGAACATCTGACAAAGGTTTCTCAGCAATATTTAAAGTTCTCCCTCTCCTTCCCTTCTCTGTGAACGCCAAAATTTTATATATATTAGTCACTTTATCATTTGGATTCAGATCTTCAAATTAGGTGATAATTGAAGATGATCCAATTATCTAGATTATTAACATCTATCTCGAGTTTAATGGACGAGGTCACGCCAAGTAAAATTTTTACTATCACAAATAATGACTTTTGCTACTGTGAGCTTTAACTTCACTAGCAGTTTTCAAGACCAAGTGGTTTTCAAGATAATAAATTAGCAGTTTTTAAGACCAAGTGGTTTTCAAGATAATAACGGAAACCTTATTGACGTGATCTCATCCGCTGGGAGTGAAATAAGCAGCAAGAATCTAGATAATTGTAATTGAATCCTCTCCAATCACCACATGATTGGAAAATTGACCTAATAAGAGAGGATCCAGATCCCATTCGGATTCAGAACCCCCACTAAGAGAGGATCCAGATCGCATTCGGATTCAAATCCCCCACCATTCAATAACTTGGACTTTTCGGTTAAATTGATTTTTTGAAATAGAACAATTTTTCAAAACAAACCCCTTTAGAGTTTTATTTTTCAAAATCGACCGTTTTTTTTTATTTATCAAAACCGATCCGATTTTGTGATTAACAGCCTAATCACCATCCTAAATAGTCGGGGTTGCCAATCCCGACTATTTAGAAGGGTATTAAACCCTAATTAGAGGCCTTAAACACTAAAAATTAAGGTCCTAAATAGTCGGGGTTGCCAACCCCAACTATTTAGGAAGGTAATTAGCCGGTTAATCACAAAATCGGGTTGGTTTTGATAAAAAAAAAACCGGTCGATTTTGAAAAAAAAAAACTCTAAATAGGACTGTTTTGAAAAATTGTTCTTTTGAAATACTATAAAACACTAGATTTCAAGAGTTTCTGATGGCAATCAAATATGAAAAAGAATATATGCCAAATAAGAACTAAATAGGGGCCCCACCCTGCTATTTCCTAGAGGCATACTTTCTGGGCTCCTACTTCCTACCCCAGCCCAGCGACGCTACTTGCTTGACCCCTTGTAGAAAAAAGAGAGACTCCTGCTCAGTCACAGGGGAGTGAACAATCAACTGAATGCTACAGCATCAATTCATTTGTAAATCTTAAATAAACAAAGTGGAAAGCGAACCAACCTGCAAGAGATCCAACGCATCATCACACACTAAAAGCGAGCAGATGAAAACGACCCGGAAACTGGACTACCAAGCATAAAAATTAGAACGATATAAAACTTCAACATAGAACAACATTAACATGAAAAATCCTTGTGGACGAAATCTACTTCTTGGATATTAAACTCTCATGGTAATATCTCCATTATATATGTTATCCGACCTAAAATCTCTAACGAAAGTAAATTGACACCAGCGGGATATCAATGTCATTATCATCGTCATCCTCGCAAGCCACCACAACATCGAAATGACGCCTATAAGGCGGCACCTCCAGCTTCGCAACCTCCTTCGCAACATCCACAACTTTCCGACCCATCCTCTCCTTATGCCTAGGAAACATACTATTATAAAGCAACGACGTACCACAGGAAATACTGTAAGCATTAAGCCCTCTCTCCTTGAGCCATTGAAGGAGCTCTCTTAGGGTTAGGTCACCATGAATCATCCAACGGTCCCAAACGGTCCAGCTCATGTCTTGATGCTTGATCACCTTGGGAGGGACCGGCTCGGCCATGGCGAACAGAGGGAGAGCGAGGTTAGCAAAGGTGTTGCAGTAGTCTTCAACCTTGTGGCCACCCGCGATGACTTTGTAGAACTCGAGGCAAACGAGACCGGTGGCCATAGCAGTGGAGGTGGCGATTGCAGGGATGATTCTCCCGGCAATGAGCTTGGCTTTGAGCTTGTCGACTTCAGGTATGGAGTAGTTTCTTGCACGCATGTTAGCGAGGCCGGCTATGAAGTCCATGTGATAGTTTGTGTCATCGTCCTGTAAGGTTTCAGAATATAGGTGTCAGATCCATAATGAAAGCACCAGGCAACACAGACAACAACAGAGAAACTTTTATCCCAAAAATATCCCGATTTTTGGTTTGGATATATGAATCCTATTCTTCTGTTCAGTTCTGCTTAGGGCTATCTCATCCATCACATTAACCACTATTATATCCTATCTCTACTGCTCCTTACTCCATTAATTATAATGATGATGACGAAAGTTAAAAAGGTAACACCTAGAATTTGTGAATGATTAGAATGTGTAAATTGAACCATTAAGTTGCACTGCAAACTATTATACTCCAGTACAAACCTTTTCAAACAAAATTGGATTCATCCGGAATCCAGAGGGAAGCTTCTGTGCACAGCCTTGGAGCTTAACGATGAGATCATTAATGACAGCAGCATCATCAACAGAGGCAGTGGAGAGACTAGTAGCCTTTTCATCTGTAACAATCTTAACTCCCTTCTTGGGCTGGAACTCAGGGACTATCACCTTATCAACAGCATCAGCCAACTTCTGTGGGTTCTTGGCCCACTCAGGTATGGGAATTCCAAATGCCTCTGCTCTCAGAATAGAACCAGCCATAACAAAGTTAACGTGGCTTTGATCACTGGAGGAAAACTGTAATGGCCGGGGGAAACGTTTTGGAGCAGACCAGAATAATGCACCGGTGCTTGTTGCAGCATCCTCGGGGAAAGTATAAGTTAACTGCTTGACGCGATTGGCAAAGTAGTCCTCAAATCTGCGAAGAAGGATGAATAATTAATGCTACAAACAAATCAAGCGTATAAAAGGAGACTTACAGACTCATATAAAGCATAATCATTTATAGTATAGGTAACTAGCGCAGACGCACACTCAATGAATATGAACTTCTGCTGGCATAGGACTGCTTGCATATAAAAGTGTCAATTAAACACAACCATGCATGTTCTGCACCCACATAAGCATTTCATGCATGCATCCACTAAAATAAAACAAAGGAAATAAAGAGCAGTTGCACTAGTCCATGAACATAAGTTGGGCAGCAGTCTTTCAAAAACTTACAATTATTTGTTTCCTACTTTGGGCAACATCATCGACAATGAAACAAACTCTTTCAAGTAAATCTACTAGATATTTGGGAGCTAAAACATGTACATGAATAGTAAAACAAATAATTTTATATCTTCAATAAATTTATTGATTGTAGAAGGGGTGTATTTGGGGGGATTCGAAATTCAATATCATGATTTTTTTTCAATTAATGACATATGCTTGCTTCTTTTCATCTCTTCATATGATGACACAGCCTCCACACACCGACGACGTTGAAGTACCAACCAGGTTGAAGTTATAACAGTATATAGAAGATATTGTCAGGCACAAGCCTAAAGATTGACTAATTATAAGCCAAGAAAAAAAAGAGAAGGAAGTCAAATATTCTAATATTCCACGGCAAACAAAGAAAAAGATAGGAAGATCCTTTTGGAATGTAGGTGAGATCGAGGAAGGAATTATCATTACTTCCCAAGGATCAAAAGAACTTCAACAGCTCATTCTATTGCATGGGGTACTAGAAACAGGTGGTTGATGCCTTTATAGCATAGTTACAAATTAGAGAAACAAAGAAAAAGAATTATCAAGGAACCAACATCCTTGAGGATTTTTGACCCTTGGTTATCCAGAGAAGATAGATACTAAAAAAAAAATCCTGAGGATTGGATGCCTGATTCCCAGAAAGAAGCTATTGTGCATGGATAGCACATGGTTCATGTGTTTTGGACATTCAAAAACAAGATGATGCACAAAAAAGGTGTAGAATTACATTACACATTACTACTCTAGGACTGGACTTAGATAAAAAACATAGCACTTAACCTGCTTCAGATTTCTCATATGTTCAGAAGTAATTCCTAAGTAAATTTGGACCCAATGGTCACAAATCAAGATCAATTTTTATGACAAGTGATAAGAGCTTCACCTAAGTCTTGCCCAAGTGATGCAATCTTGGAATGTGTCACATTTATCCTTGTCTAGGCACTCAATAACACGCTCAAGCAGATCCCTAGCCTGTGCATCACCAGCGCTTCTCATGGAAGAAGCATACTCCTGAGGATTGTTGAGGAAAGTGTTTACTTCATTGGGTGTTTTCTCAAGCAACCCGTCAAACTCAGATCTGGCCCATGTTAGGCAATGATCAATGTTGTGGGGAAAAGAGTGAACAGTGCACATAGGTGCTTGTTTCTCAGGAGGGTCTCTGGAAGCACCATAGTTCTCTGTGAGGTGAGGTATAACCATCTGCGTGTTACATTTGGCTCCTAGAGTTCCTGATTCCAATAATGGCTTTTGGAAGTACAAACACCGCATGTCCATGTATAATCTGGCAGTCACATTGTCCAGTGCATTAATAACAACATCCAGTCCCTCCCAAAAAGCATCATCAAACACATTTTCTGTGTCTGGGCTTGCCCGGTTTTGAAGAGGTTCGACATGGAGATTAGGATTGATTGTTCCCGCAGCTGAAGCAGCCACAGTAGACTTAGCCTGCCCAATATTCCAGTCACGAAACAGAAACTGGCGACTGAGATTGCTCTTTTCAATGACATCATCATCTGTTATTGTTAGCTTTCCTTTCTGACTGCAGCATACTCCCATTAGGGCTAGGTTCTTCAGGAATTCACACCCAAGAGCGCCGGCTCCAACTATGAAAACTTTGGCATCTTCCATTTTCTTTTGAAGCTTGGATCCAAACACAGAAATTTGGGCATCATATCGGCTGTTTAATGGCTTCAAATCATCAGCCTCTAATGGTTCGGTAGGGAGGGATTCAACTGAATCGAAGTGAAAGAACTGCCAAACACATTGCATAACATACATGTTAAATATACGATACATACATGATCTACGTATTACTTAAACACACACACAAGACAAGAATTTTATTTTATTTTATTTTTTTAAGCCAGCTCCCAAGTTAGTTTTATTAAGAACCACCAAAACGGCATAATGGACCAGTCTCTAGCCGATCCATTTCATCTTGATCTACTTTTTTTAAACCAGCTCCCAAGTTAGTTTTATTAAGAACCACCAAAACGGCATATGGACCATTCTCTAGCCGATCCATTTCATCTTGATCTAAATATCCAAAATGAGACATTCAAGAGATTTCAAAACTTTCACTAGTGCATTAACCACTATCTTCTATTAAGCTGGAAATGATGTGTTTCTCACAACCAAATGATGAAAGTGAAGATTTGAAATCACTTGTACTCTCCTAAGACTAATTCAGATTATGATAGAAGTTGGAACAAGGTGACTGTTGAAGAGCATTCGTAAGGATGGCTCACCATGGACCCCTCACAAGTTCATATAGTGGAGTTCTCTAAGCTAAATTTCTCATGTATGTATGCAATTATATAAATTTAATTCCTCTTCCCCCAAGAAAAAATGTACACACACAAACAACACCTTTTAAAAGAATATTATCAATGTTGAGACACAAGAAAAGGGTATAGTAATCGAAGTCTAACCTGGAAAAGGGGATGGAATTTTCCAGAGCAAGCTTTTACTACTTCTTGGCCAACAATGCCACCAAACATTGCAGCCATAGGATTTAATACGGCCCTGGAACCACTGGCAAACTGGCGGAAAAGCTTCTCATCAATCTGTTCTACCTTGAGATCTCCCTGTTTCTCATTGATAGAATTAGCATGAACTATTAGTGTCTTCACATCTTTCTCAGATCCAGCAATAGGGAAACGTCCCTGTTCGTTTCGAAATGCATCTAAAGATTGAAAAGCCAGGTGTAACATAGGTGGCCGGTCTAGCTTAGAGAAATCACTAAGAAGAAACTCCCCTGGCTCCTTGAGAGCATCTCTGAGAGGTTTAAATCGCAAAATTTTGGGCTGCTTTACCTGTGTGACTATTCCACCTTTGATGTATGCACCAAACTGGGTGGTATCTTCTTCAAGCGTAAAGGAGAAAGGTCTTGCAACCTTAATTTTTCTAGGTTTGCCATCATTTAGTTCAACCATCCCCTCAACCTCAGAGAATACCACAAGATCTCCATCTTGGAACTCGAGGCGCTCATCATCAACACAAGATATGAGTGCAGGGTTGTCGTTGCTGATGGATGCGATTATACCTGTATGAGGTTCCTTTCCATCAACATCTACAACAGTGAATTCTGGACCAAAGTCGCAAAACACGCTCCCAAATAGGCCTCGAACTTCAGATTTAATGAAGGAAATTGGGGGTTGGTGGCTATGACAATAATCGTTGAATTCAATTGCTTTTTCCAAGCTAATATCGGTGAATACAACAGCCTGCAATACAGAGATCGCATAATGAGAGCTAACGCTAACAGTTTTTAGAATGTCAAAAAAATTCTACTGACAGTAAGAAGCAACTTCCAGCCAATGAAGAAAAAAACTACTTTGCACAAAAATGAGGTACCGCGTTATTCTATACATTAAAAGGTGGCGTCCAACTCTCTCAATGTGCGTAAGGGTCCAAAAGGTACTCAAGTATTTGATAAACTATTTTTTTAACAATAAATGTTAACTCACATGTTACATTTCTTACCCCTTCCCTATTCCACTATAGCCCTATACTACTACTCCCATGTGTCTTTACACATATCTGGGTGCCTCATACCTAACCTACCCATGGAAAATTCACAGAAAAAGATAAGCAAGTGAAAAACCCCAAAATTATATCAGGAGTTACATATGTAATCCCTTCCTAGTATATCATCTATCAACTTAGCTCTTAAACTAAGTCATGATCATTGACACTCTTTTGTTACTTATGCACATCACTGAAACTTAATAAATCGTTCAATAAGAAAACTTTTGCAATTATTATGATCAAGTATTCATGCTAGAGAACTATCTTCATCTTCAAATAAGTATCTGATTAACAGCTTTATCCAAGGATATCTTTTGAAACAGATCAAATACGAAATGCCATTATTAAATTTGGATGTCCATGAATATTCTAGTTTGACCATACGATGGTTGCCAACTTGGCAACTAATCCACAGACCTAAGGAACCATGCTATGTTTGATTTCCCAGAGATAAACATGTGCAATTTGAGAACTGAAACATTGTACAAAGAAAACATCGCTGGAGACTGATAAGAATAATAACATCAATCAGTTGGGAGGATGTATTATGCAAATGCAGGACCTAAGCTGTGTTCTGTGGAGAACAAACCTGGAAATCAGAGAGCTGATCCTTTGACAAAGGTCCTGTCAAGACAGAAACTAAGACTGCACTATTAAGTTCTTGCAGCTTCAGGACACAAGCATGAGCTCGGTTCTTGCCTACATCATCTTCAGAGAAATAGAAGTTGCTAGATAAGTCCCACAATTCAACGTTCCCTTCATCATGCAGGGTGACAGATTTAACACCCGCAAGCACAAGGTTCTTTGCTGCAAGCACAAAACAAGACACGCCAGTTAACGCTCAAAACTACATTCAATTTCAAGAGCAAAGACAGGTGACGATCTTTATTATACTCGAAACAATTGTCGGTTAAGAAATTAAAATCCAAACAGACCCACTTGCAGACCTTGTTGTAAACAAGAAGCTAAAAAATATGCCTCATATGCAATGCTCTTTTACATACAATTAGCAGCTATATATTTAAAAGGGAGTTCCAGATGATATAACTTCTCCTTTAGTTTATAACCCGAGAAACTAACATATATTCATCAAACTCAATGTTATGTCAACACAACCACAAGGCTCCTCAAGGGAGTACATAACTGATCCAAATATCCAACATCTAAACCATTAACATCAATCAGTTGCTGCTGATCAATTCCAACATGGACTATAGTGAAAGCTTGAAAAAAATTAAATGCAACTCCCTGCTTATACCGTCTAGACAAATTGTCAAACTTTCAAAAACAAAAAGAAACGGTGTTACATAGTAGACCTCTCTTCAAGAATGTCAATTGTAGCAAAATATGCCAAAATTCTGCATCAACAGAACTACAAACTAAGCACAATCACACTAAATTTCCCATCAGCATTCAAAACAATTGATAAACACGGCTGCTTCCGAACATCAAAACGATAGTCATTAAAGTCATTACTACAGTCAAACAACTAATCAATCCATAGGAGAATTCTCAGCTTCGAAATGAAAAGCTACTAACAATCTCCTACTACCTTCAACGTCCAAGCCAAAAACTACTAACATATCAAATCAAGACAAAATAAAACTAAAATAATTCATCAATAAAGTGAGAGAGATCCAGAAACTCACCGATCTCAACGCCCAATCCGTTCATCCCCGAAATTAAAACATTCGAACCAAACAGCCTCCTCATCGTCTCCCGTCCGTAAACAGCAAGCTGCCGACTATGGAGATCCTCGTCGATCTCCGCCGGAGCTCCGCCTCCGCCATTCCTCGCCGCCGCGCATCGATCTCCATCCCGTTCACAGACCTCGACGACGACGATCCTCCTCCGCTGCTCAGCTCGCCGCCGCCGGCGCATCGATCTCCATCCCGTTCACAGACCTCGACGACGACGATCCTCCTCCGCTGCTCAGCCCCTTCGATCTCTTCGCCTCCGATGATCCTTCGCCTCCGATCGCCGCCGCTGCTCCGTCTTCAGCTCCGCCGCTTCTCTTTGCCGGAAGCATATAGAGTACCGAGCTGCGAGAGAAGCAAAATGATCGGATTAGAGATCGGCGATGAGATCGAAACCCTAACCCTAACCCTAACTTAAAATGGGAGAGAGAGAGGGAGAGCACCAAGGAGATCTGAGCTCTCCTTCGAGGTGCTTTTGGGGGTGAGATGGTGATGCTTTATAGTAGGGTTTTCAGAGAGTGGGCACTTGTGAGGCCCGGATTTGCATCTACTGCTCCCAGTGGTATTTATCCTGGAGTTATTTATAGAGGGGGGAGAGGGTACTTTAGTCATTTTCTTGCTGGTCAATTCACTTTTTACCCTTTCCCCCGCTTCTATGATAACTAGAAATTTTCAAGTTTACTCTTGGTTCTCGAAACAAAATTACATGGGGGTGGAGAAGTTAGTTATAGGGGTGTTTTTTTCAGTATTGTATTATGTAGTTTTAATTTTTACCTTAAGAATGCTCTCTAGTTTGAAATGAATGGTGACTTTTTTATTTATATGTTATTTTTTTCCGTTTTTAAAGTTATAATAACATCCAACCAAAAGAATGACTGTATCCAAACACATCCTCATATTTCAATATGAACATATTTAGATCTTTCATATTCCGTTAAAGTGTAGAGTAAAGAATAAAGCTATTGCAAGTTATAGTTTGGCACTCTTGAAACGTACCCGATGACATTTGAAAAGTTATTATCTTTTGGGGGAGGTGTGCCAGAAGTTTTTCATGTGAACATCTATTTCTTCTAGAACCAAATATTTATGTAGATTTTTTAAAATAAAAGGAGATAATAGTGCTTGTTAGCAAAAAAAAAAAAAAAAAAAAAATCCCTTTTCCCCAAATTTTCAAATTAAAAGATCCCCACTTTTTGGATACCCACAAAAGCATAAGCAACCACCATTAAAGCTTTATTCCGAGTCATTTTCCATCCATTGAAATGTCTCCAACACTAATTTTTCCCTTTATTCCTTGCTATTTAACATCTCCGCTTCCCTATAAACTTTCCCAATTGTTTGCTTCCTTCAAAAAAATGGTCACAATCCGAGGATGGGTAAAATCTCTCTTTCTATTTATTCTCGTTATTTTCTTTTATCAATTTCATTAGAAATATCATCATCATCTAATCAAATTTAAACCTACATGTTCCCTGTGTTTTCAGTGGTGTACGAGAGCTTGTGATCCAACACGCCCGTGTTTTGCCCCAGGCTGCCCCAACTCCCGACAACCCTGCAACCCGAACCCATATTTCTTTCCGGGTTTCGGGCCTCGCCCGAGGTATAACCCGGGTCGGAACCCGTATTACAACCCGAACCCGCCTCCTTTCCGGGGCCATTTGGGCTTCAGGCCGCCACGCCCACCTCCACCACCGAATCCGATGGGCTCGTACCCGAATCAGAATGACCCGGATGGCGCACTTCGGATTGGAGTTGGTAACGTATCCAGTACTGATATCGAGATAGATATACGCGATAATTTGACGACCGGCGCGCGAAACCGGGTTAATATCGGGTCAGGAAACCGTGCTGCGCGATCCAATATGGGGTCGGTATCCAATAATCAAGCGGACGCGGATGATTTGGTGCTGGGTTCGGATAATTGGTCGAAGGGCGGGGATAATGACATACGGGTAACGAATAATGATTTTCGCGGGTTTGGGCTGGTTCGGGTCGGAAGTGGGAATTATGCCCGCGGGAGTAATCGGATCGTGGTTGACGCGTTGGGATCCGATAACAATACCGGCCCGCAGCAAGGGGGTCATCAGAGGAGACGGTGGTTGTTTTAATTTTCTTTTTTGACGAGATGTACTTAGTATGCAAGGGTTTGCTTGATATGTGTAGTGTTGTGCTTCCGAATTCTACAAATAATCACAAGTTGTTAGTATTTATACATTATATTCTTACTTAAATGATATACGCGGTGTGACGAAGCGGTGAGTTATATGTTTGTCTACTACCATATGGAGTTTTTTCAGTCTCATGTTGCTCTTTCAAAATGTATTTGTTCTCTTATTGAGCATTTAGTGCAAAGAAAGCCAGTAGGGTTTTCAGAGAGTGGGCACTTGTGAGGCCCGGATTTGCATCTACTGCTCCCAGTGGTATTTATCCTGGAGTTATTTATAGAGGGGGGAGAGGGTACTTTAGTCATTTTCTTGCTGGTCAATTCACTTTTTACCCTTTCCCCCGCTTCTATGATAACTAGAAATTTTCAAGTTTACTCTTGGTTCTCGAAACAAAATTACATGGGGGTGGAGAAGTTAGTTATAGGGGTGTTTTTTTCAGTATTGTATTATGTAGTTTTAATTTTTACCTTAAGAATGCTCTCTAGTTTGAAATGAATGGTGACTTTTTTATTTATATGTTATTTTTTTCCGTTTTTAAAGTTATAATAACATCCAACCAAAAGAATGACTGTATCCAAACACATCCTCATATTTCAATATGAACATATTTAGATCTTTCATATTCCGTTAAAGTGTAGAGTAAAGAATAAAGCTATTGCAAGTTATAGTTTGGCACTCTTGAAACGTACCCGATGACATTTGAAAAGTTATTATCTTTTGGGGGAGGTGTGCCAGAAGTTTTTCATGTGAACATCTATTTCTTCTAGAACCAAATATTTATGTAGATTTTTTAAAATAAAAGGAGATAATAGTGCTTGTTAGCAAAAAAAAAAAAAAAAAAAAAATCCCTTTTCCCCAAATTTTCAAATTAAAAGATCCCCACTTTTTGGATACCCACAAAAGCATAAGCAACCACCATTAAAGCTTTATTCCGAGTCATTTTCCATCCATTGAAATGTCTCCAACACTAATTTTTCCCTTTATTCCTTGCTATTTAACATCTCCGCTTCCCTATAAACTTTCCCAATTGTTTGCTTCCTTCAAAAAAATGGTCACAATCCGAGGATGGGTAAAATCTCTCTTTCTATTTATTCTCGTTATTTTCTTTTATCAATTTCATTAGAAATATCATCATCATCTAATCAAATTTAAACCTACATGTTCCCTGTGTTTTCAGTGGTGTACGAGAGCTTGTGATCCAACACGCCCGTGTTTTGCCCCAGGCTGCCCCAACTCCCGACAACCCTGCAACCCGAACCCATATTTCTTTCCGGGTTTCGGGCCTCGCCCGAGGTATAACCCGGGTCGGAACCCGTATTACAACCCGAACCCGCCTCCTTTCCGGGGCCATTTGGGCTTCAGGCCGCCACGCCCACCTCCACCACCGAATCCGATGGGCTCGTACCCGAATCAGAATGACCCGGATGGCGCACTTCGGATTGGAGTTGGTAACGTATCCAGTACTGATATCGAGATAGATATACGCGATAATTTGACGACCGGCGCGCGAAACCGGGTTAATATCGGGTCAGGAAACCGTGCTGCGCGATCCAATATGGGGTCGGTATCCAATAATCAAGCGGACGCGGATGATTTGGTGCTGGGTTCGGATAATTGGTCGAAGGGCGGGGATAATGACATACGGGTAACGAATAATGATTTTCGCGGGTTTGGGCTGGTTCGGGTCGGAAGTGGGAATTATGCCCGCGGGAGTAATCGGATCGTGGTTGACGCGTTGGGATCCGATAACAATACCGGCCCGCAGCAAGGGGGTCATCAGAGGAGACGGTGGTTGTTTTAATTTTCTTTTTTGACGAGATGTACTTAGTATGCAAGGGTTTGCTTGATATGTGTAGTGTTGTGCTTCCGAATTCTACAAATAATCACAAGTTGTTAGTATTTATACATTATATTCTTACTTAAATGATATACGGTGTGACGTTAAGCGGTGAGTTATATGTTTGTCTACTACCATATGGAGTTTTTTCAGTCTCATGTTGCTCTTTCAAAATGTATTTGTTCTTCTATTGAGCATTTAGTGCAAAGAAAGCCTCTCTTCATATGGCAATTGCTTGAGGCGGTGCAAAGGTCAGGATTGAATTTGAGTTACCAATGAGTCCACGTAATTGTATTATAAATTAAAAGGATTTTTGTTTTTTTTAAGTCTTGGAAAATACTGAAAGCCGAAGAGGGAATTATGATAGCCCGTTAACAAAACGGGGTTGACTGACATTTTAGAAGTTATGGGGGTACATCCCAAATTGCATAAAGTTAAGGGGGTTTCCTAAAATTTAGCCTATTTTTATCCACGAGGTTCTTACATTGTTCCCGCGGAGCACCAGAGTCCTTAAACCCACCCTCCCCAAAATCCCATTCCCCCTCTCTCCCTCTCTCGCTGTTCTATCTTCTACCTCCTCCGTCAATGGCGTCCATCAACTTCGGCTCTTTCTTCGACAACTGGTTCCCCAAACCCCCGAAATCCTCCTCCTCCTCCCCCAACTTCGCCTTCATCAACACCCGCAACCTCTTCACCAAAAGCCCTAACCCTAGACCCCCCAGCCTCTCCGCCTCCTCGACCGAATCCGAACCCGAGTCCCAGTCCCCATCCAAATACTCCCAAATGCTCGACCAGTTCTTCTGGGAGTGCGAAACCCGCCCCGATTTCCGCCACACCCCCGAAGTGGATCGAATCCTCAACCAAGATCCCTTCTTTGAGAACAAACCGAACCCGACCCCCGAAGAGATCGAAGAGAGCAAGCAGTGGTGGGAGGATTTCAACTCGTCCCCAGTAGTCCAGTTCCTTCGGAGGGCTGAGGAGGTGGCCGATAAGCTCAACGAGGTTGAGCTGAAGGAGAACGAGAGGCCGTACAGGAAAGAGGACTGGAAGCTGTGGAAGAAGCTGCCGCACGTGCCGGGGTTGGATGGGAGGCCGATGCCGAGGAAGGCGATTAAGACGAGGAGGCAGAGCGATGATAAGTTCTGGGACTTCGCGAGGCAGTTCTTTTTCGGGCTTTGGGGGTTCCGGCAGAGGCCGTACCCTCCCGGGAGGCCGATCGACGTTGCGCAGGCGATCGGGTACGAGAGGTTGGAGAAGCGGTACTATGATTGTGAGTTTGTGTTTTGATTGCTGCGTTTTAGTTATAATAATGGTAGGATTTTTGCGACAATTACTTACCACGATGTAGTTGCAATTCGTCCATCAAATTTCAGCCTAAGAATTGGATTTATAACGCGTACTAAGTTTTAGTTGAATACCCCAAAGTTTCACCCTATCCTAACTTTATTACATGGAAGTTCAAATTGACGTTAATTTCACAATTTGATACCCAAGACCCTACATATGTTCCTCACATTCCCTAAACTCATAAAGCTGAAGTTTGATAAGAAAATTTGCCTCTCATTCGCTTTTCTATGCTAAAGTTCTTGAACAAAGTTGACGTCAAAGTTTTTGCACTCTGGAGAATCAAATTGTTCAGATCAAACATCAAGATTGTTAAAATTGGGTGAAACTTTGGGGTATTAAAGTGTAAATAACCCTATGATGTATGATGCTAATATTAGGATTCGTTCAACAGTAACAATAACAAAGTCTTTATGTCAGTTTTTGGTGTTGGCTTGAATCCTATTCTTGCATTCAGTTTGTAGGTGCTAGCTCATCTGTTGAATAACTATTAAGATATCCTTTTTATTACTTTCTCACCCTGTTTTCTTAAGCGTCCTACTTTCGCCTTTAACTAATCTTATTAATTCTTATCTCTTGTGTATTTCGTGGCCTCTGTTCCACATGACCAAATTGGTAACCAGTTTGTTATGGATGAGTTGTCATTTCGACTTTTCCGAACGATACATTGAAAAGTTGTGGAATTTGATTGCTGCACTTCATTTTAAAGTTGGAAACTTGGAAATTTGCAATTGGCTATCATGATTTAATTGGGATTTCTTAATCAGATTTAAACTTGAGAATTGGAATTTTGATGTATGATATATGTAGAATCATTACCTGTATTGGATTTCTACTAACAAATCAGTAAACATTTTGTCATGGACTTATGGTTGTCGGTTGAGTTGTTATTTCTAACTGGACTAGGGTACACGGACTGGAATTTCGCTGAGTGAGATATGTCTGGATGTCAAACACGTGAAAATTTAGTTGGTTTTAATAAGATGGCTAGAATGCTCTAGTAGGTTTTATATCTATAGTTGAAGAGAGGTTAATACATGTGGTTTTCATGAAAGAGAACCATTATGGCTTTCTCGGATTTTGACGTTCGTTAATTGCAGACTTTTTGAGTTGCAAGTGAGGTTTATGTTGTAACTTCATCTAAAACAATCCCCAAGAAAAATCCAAAAAAACTGTTAACCCAAAACAGACACTCCCAACATAACTACAACTATAAATTGAAACTCTAAAACTGAACTAAACAACACCTACATGGGAAGCATCTGACTCTTTCATGCATACTCCACTTGGATCGGGGGGATATAGCTCAGTTGGTAGAGCTCAGCTCTTGCAACTGGGTCGTCTCGTAATAATTAATCTATTTATCTTTCCATCTTTATCATTCTTTCTACTTTTAATTGCCATCTGTTGGTTCTGCAGTTATCATGAGAAGTGGTGGCTGGTATTACAAGGATCGATTAGGTCGTACAAGAGGGCCTCTGGAATTAATTACTCTAAAGACAGCTTGGGCTGGTGGAATAATTGACACAAATACTTTCATATGGGGCGAAGACATGGATGAATGGGCGCCTATTGGAATGGTTTATGGCCTGGAGAAAGCAATTGCTACATGGGAAGGTTTGATTACTCTTAGCTATTTGCAAATAAAATTTTTCTGCATATATATGCTTGATTTGCATTAACCATTCAGTTGTATTTATTGGTTCTACAGTCAGACTAGGTGCTGCTGCTACAGCTTGCCTTCACAAACTGCAGAAGGGCATACCTCCATGGACTCCTGTGAAGGGACTTGAGAAGAAAACCTATCAGCAATTACAAGATGAAGCTATTGAGAGCAAAAAGCGTGACATGGCTGTACTTGCAGCAAATGATGGTATCTGGCCGGGCATGAGAACTCCTAGCCATGCACTGTTTCTTTGGGCCAGTGGTTCTGAGCTTACTACTATTCTGGAGAAAGATCATATGCCAAACAAATATATTTCCAAAGAGCTAAGGTCCTCCATTTCAAATTTTTTGCTTTCTCAAATTTTTGTTCAAAATTTTGCTTTCACTTTCTGTATCTTTTTAATTAGTTCTCTAGTAGATTGAACTGAGAATGTTTCTAACTGAAATGCTCCGAGTTATATTCAGATTGTTAGATTTGAAGATTTTATTTTATTTTCTTAAATGTCTGATTCTTCTTTCAATTTGTGTTACTTCTCAAACTTCTGTTCATAATAGTATTTGCGGCTTCTCTTTATATTGATTTTTTTAAATGATGTCTGCTTAAGTCATACGCTTAAGAATTTTTCTTCATGTGCATGTGGTTGACTTTCAAATGTCGTATTTGTTTGGGGTCCTCTATCCTCTTTTATTTTTAATTCCATGTGAAGTTTCGTTTGTGCCTTTTAATCATCATTCCTTAATTTCCATGAATAAGTTTTTGTTAGATTACCTGCATGAATGTATGTATGATCATAAAGCATGAAATTTGATTAATTGTCAGAATGTTGAATTTCTTTGTACAGTATAGCTTCAGTTGTTTCTGCACAAACATGTAGAAGGTTATTCAATTCTCTACGCATAACCAAATGGTTATTTCCACTTTTTTAATTATAATGGGTGAGAACACACTGATTTGTTGTCTCTTTTGATTAATGATCTGGATGGTACAGTTGAAACTCCTTCATAGGAAGTTTACACTTTTAGTGGATATCTCTATGATTTATTTATTTATTTATTTATTATTTATTTATTTGCCTGGTAAATTACTTAAAACATTTATAAAATGTTACTTACGAGAAACATGGTTACTTTGCAATTGATTACTGACACAAAGGGCATTTTTGCTTCATCTGGCAGGTATCGACTTGCAAAAGTCATCCCTGGTTTAAGACCATGGGAGGTTCTAAGTATAGAACAAGCTATGGATCAAATAACATATGATGGGGAGTGGTATCGTGAGCCTTTAGGTTCTTACACTACTGGTCCTCCATATATCAGAGACTGGAACAGGGATGTCAAGGTATATTCTCCTTTCTACACTAGTAATTCATTGGCATTATATCTGGTCTTGATTTTCATTTCATTTATAAAAAAAGTATATACTATTACTGGCTGATGCTCTCTTGTACATCTGATATACTTTTTAGTTTACAACAGTTCTCATAATTCAGTTACATTTACAATAGAAAAGATATGTTTCGGCCTTGCACACTAAACAGTAAACAGTTGTAAAATTATCCAAATAATTAGACAAGGTCACTATACAACCCTCTGACTTGAGTAAGTCTGGTTTCTGGACAAGAATTAAAGATCCTTCTAGGCCTCACAATTTATCCTTGAAATAAATACTTGTCTCCTTGAAATAAATACTTGTCTACTGAAAGTTCACATTGCCATATAAAGATATCCATAGTCATAATGGTCAAGGAAAATTCTTCACTTGTTCCGTCATAACTGTTCATCCCGCAATCAACCTGCTATGTTCTGTATGATAAGTAATTTCAATTACACTTTGCAATCGTCTCAAATGGCACAGGAGTTTTGATATTATTATATTTCTTCTCATAAAGCAAAGTAACTATTAACAGTATATACAAATTGTTTATGCAGAGGATGTTTAGAATCTTTCACAACCTGAGCTATAGAGTGTACAACAAGTTAGATAGGACAATTCCTGGTTTCAGTAAAGTGATGGAGAAAGTGCGAGCTGATACAGCTGCAAAGGATGCAAGGCGCAAGGAGAGGAGGGCTGCACAGAAAAAGGCTGAGGCTGAGGCTGCTCTCTTTGGCCGCAGAGTGTCACCTGATCCGTAGAAAAGGTACAAATCTTTAAGGGGGGAAAAAAATCCTTAGGCCATGATTATTTTGATTTTAATGTTTTTATTACAGGACAGAATATGCAAATCCTCTTCCAGTATCAGGTAGTAAACAAATCTCTCTCTCTCTCTCCTAAAATGAATGTTCTTCACTAGTTACTTTCTGTCGTGTTCTTTCATAACATTTTGCTTCACATTTTTTTTGACAGTATTTCTTCCACTTGTGTCGAGCATTGGGCATCGATCTACAAGATTTATCAGAGAATGCAGTTGCTCGACGATTTTTGCAGATTCTACATGTAGTTCCTTATGTTATGAAAATGGATGGATGCTGATCGATGCATCCAGTGTTGAATTTCCAGGCTCACATGTTGTTCTGTTGGGAAATTTGTTGTAATTCGAACGTTGGTCATTTTGTCAACCATGGATATCATGTTTTGCAAAATGCAAGCTGATCTACATGAAAGAAAATTCCTGTACCTCAAATGATACTGCTTGTTTGGGTTGTTCCTCTACATCTAATTCATTCACAAAACACTTTGTTTGAGTTGTTCCCAAATGTCACCTTGCTATATTATCTTATGAGTATTTGATGCATTTGGATTATGGGATGGAGAAGTGGGTATCAGTCAACTGACAATTGAGTAACCATCAGATTCTTAGTAATGGATACCAGTTTTGATGAAAAGGCCGAAATCCTCAGGAAGTTTGTATTGGAAGCTAATATCGCCCCCTCGAGGCTGAAAAGTATCAATAGGGTCATCTCTGTAACAGTTAGCATATGCATTGGCTGCAGTGGATGAAAATCATAGGGACGATACTCAAGCCAGTGAGTTTTGGAAGTGATGCTGTTAGCTTAAACTGAGATTTATTACAGCAAAAAACTGAGATTTTCAAGCCAGTGAGTTTTGGAAGTGATGCTGTTAGCTTAAACTGAGATTTATTACAGCAAAAAACTGAGATTTATTGCAGCGAAAGATCAACTAGAACCGTCCATCACTCAGATATGTTATCTTCTTTCCATTCTAGACTTGCAATAGAAATCACTCACCTGTCACAAGCGATATTGCGATAGTCTTTGCAATAACTGGCTTACGAGTTGCTACACATCGATATGAACTAAGCATGTCGATGGGAATTCAGTACAACGTAGCCGCCCATGAGTCCGTTGATGCCACATTAGTGTCTTTCGCATATCTCCGTATGAGCTCAATAGCTCAATAAGTTATCAAGAATACAAGACATTGGTATAATTGCATGCATAATAATAGGCAAAAGGGATCTTTGGATGAGCTCAATAGCTCAATTTAACTTTTTTTTTTGTTAAATGACACAACACATTCAATTTGTTGCATACATACTGGCAGGCAAAAGGGTACCAAGCAGTTAGTTTCTATTTGATCCAGATCCAGAAACCTCTTATATGCATCCCTTGCTCTTCAAATTTTCAACAGAGTCCTCAATGATTTCCTCCAAGGGGATAAATCTCATACCCAAGTAGATCAATTTCTTTGATGGATCTTTCACCCTCATTAGACCAGGTTCAGTATCCTCTGGGAATCCGCATTGCGAAAAAATTGCAACACGGTATTATCAAAAGTTTTAAAGGAGAAAATTTGTGCGTTTGCTAATCACCATGGTTTGAGTTCATACTGAGGTATTTGTAATCCGGGTAAAGTTCTGCAACTTTGTTAGGTAAGTCACCAAAATGTGCAATGGCTTCATAACAAGTATGCCTCCCCGATGCCGATGAATTCTCATAGACTAGAATGCGAACCATCGCAACGTCTTTGACATGAACATACCCCATGAACAAGTCCTCATACGCCTCGGTGCAGCCTGTTACCATGTCATCGGCAAGGATCAGTCTTTTTATTTATTGAAATAACAGCTCCAATATACCACATTACACTTACAATAAGGACAGTTTAGGATAGAGCATAAGAGCAGAGATATATTCAGCTACGAAGAGTCTGAGTCCTATTTTCATTTCATGTCACAAAAAAACTCATATAACCACTAAATCTTATCCAATCAAAACCTTGTCACCCCGGTTCCAAAATGTAATAACTTGGAACATGACTCGGTCGACAATGCAACCCTTCAGCCACATTCACGCGTCTAGATCATCCTGTATACAAATATAAAGCTAAAACTACACCATAGAGAATGTAACTATGGCCACAACGAAAAATGGATAGGTGAAGAAATCTCTAAAATTCACGAGGTTCTATGACAAGTCCACAACTATCCAAATGGGTCTAGTTTAATAGCGGGTCCGAACTGGGTCGGGTTTGAGGAGTTATAGACTAATTTTGGGTTACTTACAGATAGACCTCTCTAGTATCATCGTTTTGAATTTACTATCCTCTAGTTTTATTGTTGTAGATATACCTCTTTTTCTTGTTCCTTTTTTCCCCTTTCTTTCTTCTTTTTACCCTCAACGGGTCTATTTGCCAAAAAAAAACAATTTTCTCTTTCTCTGAGGATAAAAGAGTTAAAAAAAAATCATTAAGGGGTCTACTGCAACAAATAAAACTAGATGGGTAGGAAGTCCAAAACGGAGACACTAAAAGGGTCACAATTAAACCCTATCTTTTTACAGATTTTAGTAAGACGTGTTTGTACATTATATATGCATTAATTCCTTTGGAAGAAAATATATGTATTTAGGTACTCTTTATCCTTCTGAACACATATTTGTACAAAAATATGCTGTGGTGCTGTCCAATAGTCCTACTTCATCAAGGAATGGTCATGTCGTGATGTTTGCATCACGCTGTATCCATTTCCTGTTATATACTTGAGTTGAAGAAATTTTCAAAATCGTCTCAACTGAATTTTTTTTAAAGAAATCGACTCCATTCACTTTTAAATTATAGAAATCGTCCCATTTTGAGTTAATTACGGTACTAATTAGCAGCCGCAAACCTTCCCCGCTCCTTGACCCCATTTGTAATTAGGCTACTAATTAGTCGGGGTTGCCCGCAATTAACTCAAAGTGGGTCGATTTCTAATTAAAAGTGAATGGGGGTTTATTTCTTAAAAAAATTATGTTGAGATGATTTTGAAAATTTCTTCTATTTGAGTTAATTAATAGCACCTTGAGCTATTACGTACCCAAACAAATCAATTATTACTGATCTCCTCCTGTACACGAATATGCATACTTCACCATAAGATGGTTGTGTATAAGATTACGCATTCCACTGACAATCTCCTGGGATCTTATAGGAGCCATTTCATACTACTCTCAACTTCTCCTACTGTAATTCGAGAGAAAAAGATGAGTTTCCCTGAAGCCAAAAAACAACATTTAAACAAATTCTTTTCTAACCCACCCTCCCCTAGTCTAATGGGGTGTTTGGTTTAATTTCTACAAATTATAGGAAATATTTCCCACCCAAAATATGATTTCCTTGTATTTCTTAAAAAAATTATAGAAAAATGTTTGAGAAGTCAAAAAGTAACAATTTTCTTTTTTTTACTTTGCTTATTTGGTTTAAAACAAGAAAATGACTCATAATTTTGTAGAAAATAGCAAGATTTTCTATAATTTATAGAAATTGAAGCCAACATCTCCTAAATTTATAAAAAAGTGTCAACTTTATAGAAAAGTGTCAATGTGGTGTTAGATTTCTGGGTGATTTTTTGCCCATTTTGAAAGGAAATTGATTTCTGTAAATTTTGGTAATTTTTTTGTACTTTACAGAAAATATTTCTGTAATTTTTTTTGAACCAAACACAATTTACGGAAATCTACGAAATTTTTTTAATTACATTAAATATTTTGAGAAAATTTTTCTATAAATTTGTGCAACCAAACACCCCCTAGTTGTAACCTCGTTCAAAATAAAACTAGGTCAAGACTAGTCTTGGCCCACTACTTTAACATCCTCGTCTACATCCCCTAAGATTTTCTGTTAAGTTTGTAAATGTGCTTAACAACCAGGTAAAATGGATCTAAATGTATCAAGTGCTAAAGACGCCACACAAATTTAACAGAAAATCTAACGAAATTTGGACCAGATTTTAAAGTGAAATGAGATTGAAACTTTGGGGATGAGAGTGTTAAAAAGAAATACCTTGGGGCGTTATAGTGAAAAAAATCTGCATTCAAAGTTTCGGGTATCAATGTGTTAACAAAATGCTTGAGTAAACTTCCAAGTGAAAATAAAACCAAAAAGAATTTCCCATGAAAAAAATTGAAATAAAAAATCGCACCCCATTCTTCCTACAGTAATCTGTAATCCTCATCAGCCGGTCAGCCCCACACTCTTCTTCCCTAGCGACATCAGCAGGCCAATCAGGGCCCGGAAAAATGGCGGCGACCGATGACGTCACCACGACTCTCTTGGCACCGGCGTCCTTCGCTGCTCGGAGAACGCTGACGGTGCCCTTGGGATCGTCAAACCGGTCAACGCTGCAGGGGGCGCCACGTGGACTTCGCCGGCGGCGCCGTCAAGGGCTTCGTCTCGCCATCGTCGCCTGAGGTTAAGAGACGAAATTACGGAATTGTCCTCCACGTAAGAAATGTATAAAATTGCAGAAAAGCCCTAGACATTTTCTTTATTGCGCTTATATCTTCCTATATAATTTGCCAGCTAAATAGAAAAGAGCTTTGCTACAGTGATCCAAAGTATGAGACCAACATGGGGACAGGTAAGATGTCCACCTCCTATTGCATAATGAGCTGACCATCATTAACGATGATCAGCTCATTATGCAATAGGAGGGAGACACCTTACCTGTCCCTCTTTTGGTCTCATATTTTAAGTCTTAATGGAATTTTTCAATAGAAAAGGAGATGTGAAAATGGCATTTGACGAGACATCTTCACAACCCCACTCGTCATCGGTTAAATAATGAAAGCTTTTGTCTTAATATAACTGGTGCTAAGTATCACTTATATACCTTATAGTTCCACTCAACGCACTTATATACCTTACTCGTTTTTTGCGGCATTTATAGACCCTAAGTCATCTGAAATTGACACTTTACTATCATCAGTTGTGTAGATGTGAGAGTTTTTATCCGAATGTTATCACTTATATACCTTTTAGTTCCACTCAACGCACTTATATACCTTACTCGTTTTTTGCGGCATTTATAGACCCTAAGTCATCTGAAATTGACACTTTACTATCATCAGTTGTGTAGATGTGAGAGTTTTTATCCGAATGTTATCACTTATATACCTTTTAGTTCCACTCAACGCACTTATATACCTTACTCGTTTTTTGCGGCATTTATAGACCCTAAGTCATCTGAAATTGACACTTTACTATCATCAGTTGTGTAGATGTGAGAGTTTTTATCCGAATGTTATCACTTATATACCTTTTAGTTCCACTCAACGCACTTATATACCTTACTCGTTTTTTGCGGCATTTATAGACCCTAAGTCATCTGAAATTGACACTTTACTATCATCAGTTGTGTAGATGTGAGAGTTTTTATCCGAATGTTATCACTTATATACCTTTTAGTTCCACTCAACGCACTTATATACCTTACTCGTTTTTTGCGGCATTTATAGACCCTAAGTCATCTGAAATTGACACTTTACTATCATCAGTTGTGTAGATGTGAGAGTTTTTATCCGAATGTTCTAATACGACACTCGCATGCTAATTGATTCTTAAGTATTATATGAGAATTCTCACATGCTAATTGATTCTTAAGTATTATATGAGAATATTTCAATGAAAATTTTCACGTTTGCACAATAGAGGCTAGCAAAGTGCCAACTTAAAAAACTTGGGGTATATAAATGCTGCGAAAAACAAGTTCGCGTATATAAGCGTAAAGTGAGTGAAACTATAAGGCATTTAAGCGCTATTTAGCCCGTAACGGGTGACTGTAATATCATGCATTTCTGGTTTAAA